AAATGATATCCTTAAACAAATTGTAATGGCCCTGAAAACTATTGTTACGATTTTAAAAGCTTTCTCACAATTTTTTTGTTTAAGGCAACAATACAGTAGTATAAAGCAAGAGAATCTTAAAAAATATTCTAGCACAAACTTGTAGAGGTGCAATTATTTCAGATATTGTGATGATTTACAATAACCCAAATTCATGGAGCTTGGGAGCAACTGACCTTTCATTCAAAAGTTGACAGCTGCTCCAGAATGATGGATCCTAACTTTCTTAAGCTATATTTAGAGTACTTCTTGTTATTAATTCCCTGTACACCCATTTTTTCTGATTTGTGACAGATAATAATAATACCAATAATAATCCTTACATTTGATAAAGCGCTTATCACATCTTCAAGATGTCTCAAAGCGCCTCACAGAATATAGTGCAAAGTGAATTGATTGTATATTTTCGTGGGCGAAACGCAGCAACCAATTGCATACAGCAGTGTCCCACAAACAGTCATGGATTGAGTGACCAATTTATTATTTTTCTGGTTTGTGTTTTTGAAGGGACTATAACCTCCCATCAGCAGGGATAGTTCTTGTTTTTTGGGTTGTGGTCAGGGGAGAGCGGGAAAGATACTTTTTGGGGGTCAGCCAGGTGTCTGACAAATGGTCTGACCAGTCTTGTGGAGTCCTGTAGCTCAGTGGTTGAGCACTCGCTTTGCAAGCTAGAGACCTGAGTTCAATTCCAGGCAGGGCGAAACCTTGGGCAAGTTTCCTTACTCCACACGCCTAATAATAATCCCTCCAAAACCAAAAACAATAATAAAATTGGTCATTTTCAATCCATGACTGTTTGTGGGACATTGCTGTGCGCAATTGGCTGCCGCGTTCGCCCACAAATATACAGTCAATTCACTTTACAGTGTGTTCTGTGAAGCGCTTTGGGACGTCCTCCCGACGTGAAAAGCGCTATATCAAATGCAAGGATTATTATTATTATTATAAATGCAAAAAAACATTCTTAAGACTATCCAAACCAAAATGAAAGTTCCACAAATGCAATAAATCACTTTGCTTGCCATTGTGAACACTATCTGTCAAGCTTCCCGCTGCTTATTCTGCTGTGGCTTTGTATTCACAGGCAAATGCAGAAGCTAATTTGTGCACAGCAGTGTCTCACAAAGGGCCATGAAGTAAATGACCAATTTTATTGGCTTAATAACAAGAAGTACTCTAAATACAGTATAGGAAAGGAAGGATCCATCATTCTGGAAGAGCTGTCAGTTTTTGAATGAAAGGTCAGTTGCTCTCAAGCTATATCTGGGGTATTGTTGGCCAGGATTTCTCTATCCAAATAATGCCAAGGAACATTTAACCTCCACCTGAACAGAAAAAATGTTTCGTGCTTTTTCACCCCCAGCATTTTCACCACTCTCTGAGTGACAAGGATTGCCTTACCCCACCTCTTCCACATTGCCCGCCTTCGCCCCTATCTTACTTCAAATGTGGTGAAAATTTCATTCACCAACTCGTGCCTCAATTTTTCCAATACACTCCTTGCTGGAAAACAACAACAACAAAATTACATTTATACAGTGTCTTTCGTGTCGGTAGGATGTCCCAAAGCGCTGAACAGTCAGGTGTCAGGGCTCGAGCTTGGGGGAGGGGTGGTGTAGGGGTGAGGGAAGCAGCGAGTGGGAGGGCGACCAAAGGAACGATCGAAGAGTCTTGAGACCAGTCTTGAATGAGGCAAGGGAGGAAGCGAGGCAAGGGGACCATGAGATGGAACTCCAGAGTGTGGGGACAGAGAGGCCGAAAGCCCAGCCACCGATGGTAGGGCGGGGCGGGCGGGAGACATGGAGCAGACCAGAGCCCGCTAAATGGAGGGAGGGGGCAGGTTGGTAGGGAGTCAGCAAGTCAGAGAGGTGTGAGGGGGCAAGGCCATGGATGGCCTTGAAAGTGAGGACAAAGATCTTGAACACGACCCTCTGGGGGATGGGGAGCGAGTGGAGTCGGGCGAGGGTGAGAGTAATGGGGTCGCGGAGTCTGGTGCGTGAGAGTACATGAGCTGCAGAGTTTTGGATGATCTGCAGCTTGTGAAGGCAAAAGTCGGGAAGGCTGATGTGAGGGTGTTCCCGTAATCGAGCCTTGATGTGAGGAATGCGTGGGTGAGGTTTCAGCAGCCTGACGGGTGAGGCAGTGGCAGAGTCTGGCAATGTTGCGGAGGTGGTGGTAGGCAGTGCTAGTCATGGCACGGATGTGGGGGAGAAAGGACAGTTCAGGGTCAAACAAGACACCCAAGTTCCTGACTGTCTTAGTGAGGTTGAGTGTGCAGCTATGGAGGCTGATGCTGCCAACGCCCGAGGTTGTCCCTCTTCCAGGACTTGATGTCAGACAGGCAGTCGGTCAGTACATCAGTAGTCCTGGATTTGAGGGTGGAGGCAGAGAGATAGAGTTGGGTGTCATCCGCATACATGTGGAAATTTATCTCATGTCTGCGGATGATGTCACCATGGATCATGTAGAGGGTGAAGAGGAGGAGACTGAGGACAGAGCCCTGAGGAACACCGCATGAGATGGTGCAGGGGCTGGAGGAGAAGGCATTTGCTGCAACGAAGTGGAGGCGGTGTGAAAGGTAGGACCTGAACCAGTCAAGGACAGAACCTTGAAGGTTGAGGTGGGAGGAGAGGTGGTGGAGGAGGATTGAGTGGTCCACGGTTTCAAAGGCAGCGGAGAGGTCGAGGAGATAGAGGGAGCCCTGGTCGCACATTGTCAGGATGTCATTTGTCACCTTGACCAGAGCAGTTTCTGTGCTGTGGGTGGCATGGAAACCCAATTGGAGGGGTTCATGGAGGGAGTGGGAGGAGAGGAAAGAACAAAGCTGGGAGGCAACGGCTCTCTCAAGGACCTTGGATAGGAAAGGGAGGTTTGAGATTGGCCGGTAGCCAGATAGCTGTGATGGGTCAAGGGAAAGTTTCTTCAAGGTGGGGGTGATAATGGCTGTTTTGAGGGGGGAAGGAACAGTGCCAGGTGACAGGGAGAAGTTGATGATGTTGGCGAGTAGTGGGCCAAGGAGGTGGAGCTGGGATTTAAGGAGAGGGGTGGGGATGGGGTGCAGGGAGCAGGTGGTGGGCTTCATGGACTAACTGGTTCCACTAGTAACAAGGTCCAAATGATTCTAAATGATGCTGCCCATGTCCTCACCCATACCCATACCCATGCCTGTCTTCAAATCGTACCTGAAGACTTTCCCCTTCAGACGTGCCTTGGATCACCTCCCCTCCCTTTCCACTTGGTGTTAAACCATGCCAATGTTAAGTGCTCTGAGATGCTACCTCCGTGAAGGGCGCCATATAAATGCAAGTCTTTGTTGTTGTTGAGAATGCTAGCAACTACACCAGGCTGACAATTTATTCCCACCAGAGGTTACTGAGGCTAGGTCGATAGAATCAGCCAAACCTAATAAGCACCTGAACAATAAAAGGTTAAGGGATGTAGTTATTTGGGGTAGAAGGAAGAGAAATTGGAGGGGGATCCACTGGGAGCAGTGATTCTTCCCACTTTGTTTCTGTTAATCCTGCAAACCAAAGCCCAAATAGGTAGGATTGTCCTAGCTGGACAAACATCGGAAAACTTGCTATACAGTCCTCTAATGGCAGCTATGTGGTTTTAACTAGTTAAACTCTTGCAGTACCCCAACACACACTCTGGCAAGCCTTGGCTCTTCCCAACCTGTGCCTAATACGATCTGGAATTAGGTAAGCAGGATGGATCCCTCCAGGGATTGAGTGAGTGTTCCATTCCAGATGTAGGGAAATTTCTATGTGTACGTGGCATACGTACCTCAAGTCCGATTTTGATAATCTTAAGCATGGTTTGGGGTTTCCACGTACATCTCACAAGCCGCCATGAAGTGAATGGGGGACTGGCGGCCAGAGTGATATTTCTCTTATCGAATAGTGCCGTGGGATCTTTAACATCCACCCGGACCGGCAGACAAGGCAGGGCCTCAGTTTAACGTCTCATCTGGAGGACGGCACAACACGCGCCCAGCCCTGCACTGGAGTGTCAGCCTGAACTGCGTGAGTTCAAGTCCCACAACCTTCTGACTCGGAGACGAGAGTAACCGCCATCTGAGCCAGGGCGATGGTTTCTGACCAGCAAGAGGGGAAGCTCGTGGGAGCCGCGATTATTCGTTGTCCTGTAGCTCAGTGGTTAGAGCACTCGCTTTGCAAGTGAGAGACCTGAGTTCAATTCCAGGCAGAGGGCGAAACCTTGGGCAAGTTTCCTTACTCCACACAGAGCCTAATAATAATCCCTCCAAAACAAAAACAAAAAAAATAATAAATTGATCATTTTCAATCCACGACTGTTTGTGGGACATTGCTGTGCGCAATTGGCTGCCGCGTTCGCCCACAAATATACAGTCAATTCACTTTACAGTGTGTTCTGTGAAGCGCTTTGGGACGTCCTCCCGACGTGAAAAGCGCTATATCAAATGCAAGGATTATTATTATTATTATTATGTAGGGAAAGAGACGCACAGATAGAGGGTGACCTGTCTGACTCGGACCCCCGGAGCGCACATGCACACACGCACACACACACACCAGCGACTGTGCTTCACATCCCGGGGGATGGGCTCCGGTTTTGCCAGAAATCAAAGTACATCCGTAGCCCAAAGGCAACCAAACACTAGCCCAAAACTAGCCCAATATTCTGCGCTGCCTCCCATGAGCAGCCGAGTGGCCAATTTAGGTTAGTGCTTTTCGAACTGGGTTAGAAAAGATCTTCGGGGGGGGGGGGGGGGGGCAAAAAAAAAACGCGTTGCGGCATTATAAAAATGTTAAAAATCAGGCACCGTATTTGTTCACGCACCAAACAATAATAATAATAACAACCCGCCCAATTGAGCGTGAACCCGCCCAACCCGTCACTATTGGGCAGGCGGGCGGGCGGGCCGCGTCGCCATGGTTACGCTCACTTCCGGTGACGTTGGATCCGGCCAACGTCAGCTGGAGAGAGGCCGCGAAAGCGGAAACGACGGCCATAGCCGGAGCCTGAGGCTGGACCAGAGCTTCTCTCCCTCACCGCCTGCTGCTGCTGCACTGAGAGCGAGAGGCGGCATGGAGGTGAGTGCGGGGCTGGTGTGGGTTGTGGCAGGGCCTCGGGCTCCCCACACCCAGGAGGCCTCAGGGACCTGGGAGGAGGAGGAGGCAACAACAATGGCTGTGTGGGAGTCACTTGAACCCCATTACATCCGCTTGGACTGAAGGGCAAAGCAACGTGGCTCGACCCTGCTGCCGCCCTGAGGAACTCGAACCTTCCCTTGGAGTGTCTCCCCCTGGTTATAGCTGTGGGCAGGAAGATGGTGGCAAGGCTCTCACTCATTTCATGCTGAGATGCGCTGTCTACCGGGAGCCTCGCCAGATCCTGATGATGATAATAATAGTCATAATAATAATAATAATAATCCTTGCATTTTATATAGCGCCTTGTCACGTCTTTGAGGAGTCTCAAAACGCTTCACAGAATACACTGTAAAGCGAATTGACTGTGTTTTGTGGGCAGCCAATTGGTCACAGCAGTACCCGCCATCCAACTTTTGAAGGCTCAAACCCACTCTTGTCAACTTGGATCGTTGGCAGGGCTTGGAGGGACAGACCATCTTGGAAGCAGGAATTTGTCTCATTCAACTCCTGTTAACACTGTAAGCCAAAGCTTTATTGGGTAGGACGGTCCTAGCTGGACAGACATCAGGAAGCTTAGCAGACTCTCAATGGAGCTCAGTGGAGTCCTGAAGCTCAGTGGTTAGAGCATTCACCTCGCAAGCAAGAGACCTGGGTTCGATTCCCAACTGGGCGAAACTTTGGGCAAGTTTCCTTACTCTACACGCCTGATAATAATCCCTCAAGAAAAACAAACAAACAATAAATTGATCACTTCAATCCACGACTGTTTGTGGGACACTGCTGTGCGCAGTTGGCTGCCACGTTTCACCCACAAAATATACAGTCAATTCACTTTACAGTATATTCTATGAAGCACTTTAAGACATCTAGAAGACGTGAAAAGCGCTATATCACATGCAAGGATTATTATTATAATGTTAAGCCTTGCGGTTTTAGCTTGTTAACTTCCAGCAGTTACCACAACACAGACTCTGGTGTTCCCAGGCCTTGTTCTGATCCTAATATTTTCCAGAATTAGATAAGGCTAGCCTGTGAGTAAGCAAAAATCGAGTCACAACTACTTCCACATAGAATATCAATCCCACATTTTATTTTGTTCCTGTTAGGAGTGGATTTGACACCTTTTTATGGTGCAGCTTACAGCTCCTGGTAGAAACAGAACCTCTTTGTTTATATGATCAATTTTCTGCCAACAGAACTGACAGTGTAAATAGAGCATTTGTTTAGCAGTAGGGGTTTAGATTATGGCATCATTGAAGCATTGATATGAATCTCACTGAAAAATTAGATATAAATACAGATATGTGAAAGGCAGTCCTGTCTTTTTTTCTTTCGTTTTTCACAATCATCTCTATTTGAATAATGATATTGGAGCTTAGAAAAAGGAGAAACGTTGACTGATATGTAGCATGAAAATAATGTAAAAGGTTTAGTGTATGTGGAGAACATATGATGTTGCATCAGATATGTACAAACGTTCATATGCGCATGAGTTGTCGATTTGGTTGTTGCCTGTGAGTTAGAAGCCCCATATCGTGACTTTCAGCTTGTTTTTTGACACTCCAGTGTAGTGCTGGGAGTGTGCCGCAATGATGGAGGTGTTGTCCTTCTGATGAAATGTTGAAGAGTTTGTTGAGGTGAATGTTGAAGATCCCATGGCACTATTCGACAAGAGAATGTAGTTCCTTCCTTCCTGCCCAACATATCACAGATAAAATTGCTCATTCACTTCATCGCTGTTTGTGGGACATTGCTGTGTGCAAAATAGCTGCTGCATTTGCCTACAAAAACACAGTAACGTCGCATGAAGTGCTTTGAGACCTCTTGACGTGTGCTAAGGTGCTCTATCAAATGCAAGGATAATCTGTGCTTTTTTTGTAATAAAAACTTAGTAAGACTTAATAACTGTTGGTGGCCATGACTTTAGTCACTCGCCCCTAACCTATGGAACTCCCTGACTCAATCCCTCTGCTTTACCCCCACTTTATCAATAAATATTATATTGTAAATCGCACCTTGAGACTTAACCTCTTCAACCATGCCTATTGTCACTTTCTCTTCTGCCTTGCTCAGTGTGCAACCCTGCTATTGTGCAAGACTCTGTCCTGCATGACGAGTGCTAAATAAATGCAAGTGGCTGTTGCGAATTGGCATAATTGATTTTATTGTGAGTTGGTGTCATTGCATTGGCAGCCGAATAATTCCAAAGCAAATGTGCTGCTTTTGGTTTATTTGGAAGTCATAAACTGACAATTGATATAATTTCCAATAATGAATAAATTAGGGAAATTTTGACAATCACAATAAAACATATTAAGTTGGTCAAAAGGTTTATTTTCTGGGAATTGTTAGCACTATATAAATATTTATGGTTGTTATCCTTGCAACAACTCTTGTTTTGCAACTAAGTTGCTGCCTTCAGATAGTAGAGATAGGATGGTCTGACCCATGGACTTTTGGCTCCTATTAGTTTTGCTCTATAATCAGCCAACAGACTGCACTTTTACTTATGATGAATGGAACAAATTTTTCCTGTCATTGAGATGGAGATCGAAAGCAAGGTCGAAGAGGAGGGTCTTGAGGTGGGTCTTGAAGGTGCGGGATGAAGTTCCAGAGGGTGGGGGCATAGTGGCAGAAGGCCCGCCTGCCAATAGTGGGGCGAGCAAAGCAGGGGACATGAAGCAGGCCGGTGCCCGCTGAGCGGAGGGAGCGAACAGGGTGGTTAGGAGGTCAGAGAGGTAGGGGGAACAAGACCATGGAGGGCTTTGAAAGTGAGGACCAGGATCTTGAACTGTATCCTCTGTGTGATGAGAAACCAGTGGAGTTGGGCAAGGATGGGGGTGATAGGGTCGCGGTGCCTAGTGTGGAAGAGGACACAGGCTGCAAAGTTCTGGATGATCTGCAGCCTGTGGAGGGAGGAGTTGGGGAGGCCGACAAGCAATGAGTTTCCATAGTTGAGCCTCGCTGTAATGAAGGCATGTATGAGGGTTTCGGTGGCCTACGGTGTGAGATAGTGTCAGAGCCGGGCAACGTTGCGGAGGTGGGGGAAGGCAGAGGCAGTCGGAGCAGATGTGGGGTAGAAAGGATAGTTGAGGGTCAAACAAGTTTCCGGAATGGCTTAGCAAGGTGGAGTGTGCAACCATGGATGGAAATGCTGTCAGAGCCTGAGGTGAGGAGGAGCTGACGGGTCGGTCTTGTTGACGTTCAACTGAAGAAAGTTCGCTCTCATCCAGGAATTGATGTCTGGCCGACATTCTGTCAGGACAGCAGTGGTCCTGCAGTTAAGGGTGGAGGCAGAGAGGTAGATTGGGTATCATCCGCATACATATGGAAGTTGACCCCACGTGTGCGGATGATGTCACCAAGGGGGAGCATATGGTTATTGAAGAGGAGGGGACCAAGGACAGAGCCCTGAGAAATGCTGCACAAGTTGGTTCAGGGGCTAGAGGAGAAGCCATTTGAGGACATAAAGTGCAGGCGGTGTGAGAGGTACGATCTGAACCAGTCAAAGACAGCACAGTGGAGGTTGAGGTGAGAGGAGAGGTGGTGGATGAGGATAGAGTGGTCAATGGTGTCGAAAGTAGCAGTGAGGTCAAGGAGGACAGGAGGCAGAGGGAGCCCTGGTCGCAGATGAACAGAATGCCATTTGTCACTTTGCCCATGGCGATTTCTGTGCTGTGGGCAGCATGGAAACCCGATTGGAGGGGTTCGAGAAGGGAGTGGCAGGAGAGGAAGGAGCAAAGCTGAGAAGCAACCTGAGAAACTCATTCCTGGACCATGGAGAAGAAGGGGAGGTTGGAGATGGGGCCATAGTTAGGGAGTAGAGAAAGGTCTGGGGGGGGTGGATTTAAGGAGTGATGGTTTTTAATAGGGTGAGAACAGTACCAGAGGACAGGGAGAGGCTTACGATGTCAGTGAGTAGAGGGGCAAGGAGGTGGAGCTGGGAGGTAAGGAGAGGGGTAGGGATGGGGTTGAGGGAGCAGGTGGTAGGTTTCATACAGGTTATGGTGGTGATGAGAGAGGAGGAGGAGACAGGTTGATAGGTGTGGAGGGAGGGATAGGTAGGGCTGGGGTGAGAGCAGGAGATGGGGAGGGGATAGCAGATGCAGTGGCAGCTGAGCGGATTTCCTCGACTTTGGATTTAGGGAAGTCCAGCATCGCGTCGCAGTTGGCATTTGAGGTGAGGATGGTTGAGGCGTGAGAGCACGCAGTCAATGAGGAAATCTTGTGGTTTCTTTATAAATAACATAAACAGGTGGCAGAGTTTTGTATTATTTGGACCTTGTGGATAGTGAAGCTGGGGAGACTATTAACAAATTAATGCAGTGACAAAAGCATGAGTGTGGGTTTCAGCAGCTTTTGAACTAAAGTAAAACATTATTATTGCATATTGTGCATCCCCAATGACTAACGTTATTTACAACAACAAGATTACATTTGTATAGTGCCTTTCACGTTGGGAGGACGTCCCAAGGTGCTGGACAGTGTACAGCATTTCAGACAATTTACAAAGAAACCTGCAATGTGTTGTACATTGCTGTGCATGAGTGCATAACTCATCGATAACATTAGGGTGGCAGAGTGATCTATTTCAGTCACTGTGGCTCAAAAGCCTCATTTTTTAAATCTGTGCACATGTGTCAGTCTGAGGTCATGCACTTCTCTGCTACAGAGCTGCCAACTTGGAGTTGGCTATTTCTACAATGGGATAAAAAATACAGCAATTGGAAGATGGATTATTCTAATCCACTCTTGTAACCTTTTCATTTCTGGCTACTTTCCACTAACAGCAGCTGAGGAATAGTGTGCTTTGGAGAGGTCCAGCAGACAAAGTTTAAAGTAGAAAAGATAGCTGAAAGCAACGTGATTCTTTCACCTGGACCAGAACCTATGATGTAATTTTCATTCCTGTATTTTATAACTTTTGCAAATAAAACAACTATACAACAGTTTATTTATGGCACGTCCAATCTGTAGCATTTGCCTTACAAGCGAGAGGACCTGGGTTCGATTCCCGGCAGGGCAAAACTTTGGGCAAGTTTCCTCACTCCGCATGCGTCTGTTTACTTAGCAGTAAGTAGGAACCCGGTTGTTAGTCTTTTGGCGGATTGCTTTCCGGGGTAATAATTCCTTTAAAAAAATTGGCCGCTCAATCCACGATTGTTCACTATAGTGCTAGATGCCAGTATGCTGGCAGGAGTCCGTAACACTTAGACAATATGCTACTGAAATAATGGTCATATAGTTCTACTTCAGTATTTTTATTTAAAAAATTCAAGGTGCAGCATTGCCTAAGGAGGGAAGAGAGGGCGTTTACAACGGCATTGTTCTTTCAAACTATTATTTATACTATTTTATCTCTGCTGTCACAACAGCCAGCAGTGGTTACCTCTTGAAATTTTCTGTAAGCATTTATACCTCCTGAGACTACTGTAGCATTTCTGGCATTCATCAGGTTGGATTTTAAATTGGCCGTGGAGTTGTATTCCATTGCCATTGGTCTCATAAGAAAATGTGTGAGAATGGATCATGAAGAAGCCATTCAAACTCATCAAGCCTGCTCATTCCAGATGTTTACAAAACTTATCAATATTTTTGTTTCAAATGAATGATTTTGTGGTATTTGCAGCATAGTTCCAGCTCATTTGAAATAGTTTAAGGTCAAGCTTGTATTTGATTTAAGTCACCAGGTATTGAGTTCACTCTGCAGAATAATTAGAGGTGTGTTCCTCCCTGGCTAAGCTTTTTTTAAATGGACTGATTTGACAGCATACTACATGTCAGGCCTGGATATGCATTTGACCATAGTAAATGCACCAGTACACAAATCTGTGTTATTCCTGTCAATTAACATTAGAAACATACATCAAATGGTCTGTTATATTGCTGAGAGTGAAGTAGAATGGCAAGCCTGATGTATAGTTCCCATTTCCATATTGTGTGAAATCAGATTGTGAAAAAAACAAACATGTGATTTTTCCACTTTGGCACATGTGCAAAACACCATAACCAGGTGCTTGTCTTGGCGTTTTAATGTAGTAACATTTGTTTGATGATTTTTTAGATAAATGAGCTTGCTATTGGAGTAGACCATGAGAGAGAGTAAGCGCCTGACACATTTTTACCTCAGTGTGTGCAAATCCACCTCATACAGGTGATGTCAGGACCAGGTTTACAATTTGATTTGTGCTGGTTCAACCACAATACGTATACTGGATGTTTGATGGTGAATTGTTGCTAAAATGTTTAGTACAGCTACAGCAATGATAAATTGTTTAAACAGTATCTCTGACATGGTTCATAAATCATCATAATGCCTTTATTATTTACCTGTTTAGCAATGCGATGGTCAGGATGGAATGGCTTCACCAGCAACTCCAGGATCAGGGAAATCAAAGGTATAATGAGCAGTTTCCTCTGTTCGACTTTCCTTTGGTTCAGTCTTTAAATGCACTATTTCTCCACGAACTTTTATTTCCACACTATCTGCATACTAATTGCTTGTAACTCAAAAATGTAAATTGCTGCCCTCAAGCTGATTCAGGTTCTTCTATATTTGCAGCTGGATACACTATCAAAGGAAGACCTTATAAAATTTGTGAAGAAGCAGATTGTGATTTTACAGAAGGCCAAATCGAAATGCACTGGTAATGTATATACTGTATGCAGTGCTGCTCTGTGAAAAAAGAATCCACAACCAGTAGTACACTTCTCTAAAATCAGAAATTAGAATTAATGCCAATTAGCTGTATTATTCTGCCTTGTTCTTTCTATTTTGTTGAAGATGTTGAATAAATGATGAGTGCAGATCTTGTGTTCAGGGACCTGCATCCTCCTGCACTAAGCCACTCAGGTAACTCATGATAGAGAGATGAGTCAGAATGACTTTGTTTAGTTTACTGAGGGAGGGAAAGCTTTGGACCCTCTGTGAACTGACCCCAATGAAATTCAGTACTGGATATTGTATTCTCCCAGTGAACCAAAACACTATGGAGCTGCTCCAGCACTTTGCAGTAAAATATGCAATTAGATTCAAAAGGACCAAATTCCTTCCTTCAGGAAAGTAAGTTTTCTTTTTCTAGTGGGAGTACATTGAACAAAAAGTATTCCCTACGTACTATATTTTATTTTAAGGACAGTCCTATGAATTATGTAGCTCACAGAAAAAATGGATTTACACCATCATTCAGCTGTCCAGCAATCGTTCAAACCTACATGACTACTTACCAGTGTGTTCTTTCAATACAATATTACCAGTGCATTCTTCTTTATCTTATTTCTCCTTTAAAAACATAGAGCCTGTATCCTAGAAATGGTTGGTATTAGATGAGGCTAATCCCTCTACTGGACTAGAAATATTAGCACAATTGAAAGCATTTGTGTGACTTCAAAATTCATAATGATGTGATGTTTCAGAGCTGCAAAAGGAAATTGAAGAGCTGAAAACACAATCAAGTGGTGGAACTGATGATGCTGTCATTCAGGTACAATCCAAGAAGCTCATTCCATCACTTTATTTTAGTGATGTAGACCATACAAAACAAACATGCAAGTGGAACTGACTATGTTCAACAGAATTGTGCATGGTTACCAATATTCCTAACCATAAATAAATATCCTAAATAATCTTATAGAAAAAAATCCTTAATCGGTAAGGTAACTTTAAGCGCTCTGAGACGCTACCCTGGGTGGAGGGCACTATATAAGTTGTACTTTCATCTGCACAAATGTACAGACATAGGCTCTTCCAGCAGTACCAGGAGAGATGGAGAAGATGAGCAAGCGAGGTTTTACCAGGACACCATGAGAGAATTGTAATTAGTTGTGCTGTGGAGGCAATAGTTTTTCACATTCCTTATAATAGGGTAAACTGCTCCACAAGGATATAAAGTAGTTTGCTTCTATTAAAAGAGAAAGCAAAACTGACAATATTCTTTAAAATCACTGTTTGTATGCAACTCTGAATGTATGGAAATCTCCCACATTTGCAAGCTTGAGGGAGAAATTGTTTAAGTAGAACTGGGATTAAAATATAAGTAGACTTAACCATATGCATTTGTTGAAATAGAAATAATTTATAATGGTTTGTGTGACTACCCGGTCCCTTTAGACACAAATCAATAAACAGTATTTTGGTGTAAATTCTTTATTTTCTATGGCTATTAGAAAGCTACCTACTTCAAAGTAAAGTTTACAAAAACAGAATTTGTTTTTGTAAACTGCAGTAATATTCTTTTTGATATAATTTGCACTAATTTGTTTACTTGAGCAGGAGCTGACAACTCGGCTGGAGTCTGTACTTTTGGAAAAAGCAGAGTCTCATCAAAGTATGGTTTCTCTCAGAAAGGTGAATGAAAAAACAAAGGAAGAATTGAAGGTTAGCGAATTACATTTTTTTTGTCTTTTAGATGTACTGTAAGAAACCAGTATTCTGGGACTGGATGGTACAGTGTTCTTGAATCTATGCAAATCTGGGATAGATTGTTATAATGAAAGTTTTGTCTTATTTGTAAGAGTTGTCGGTAAAACTAGCTGCAGCATTCTTAGTCCAATTACTGGTGGTCATGGACCCAAAGCCCATAACTGAATACTAATTGGTAGTTCATTAATATGGATACCTGGATTTGAAAATGGAAATATTACTACAGGTCTTGAAGAGAGCAGAGATCTGAGATTTGCATTCAGCCTGGACAGTTTTAGTACTTTTCTGGTTGCATTCTGTGCATTTGACCTGTTTATGTTTGATATTGACGCTATCTATGCCACATTTAAAAAAAGTCTCACCCTGATGAGCACAAAAGTTTGAGGAAAAAAAAGTTTTCATTTAGGGTTTTCATTTACCCTAGTCTTTTTTTGCAATGGATTTTCAAGAGTTTAAGAATTAAACTATTTAGACTCGTCACTTGAGTTGTTGAGATGAATGCCCTGCCTGTCAGGTGTATTGATTATTCGATGTGGTATACAATTTATGTTGTATGATTTGTAGCAGTTTGTTGTGAACTGCACCTGAATTCCCAATTTAAGAACATTTTAAGAGCTCTGGTAGTTCAAAACAAGGCCCGTTTGGGTGTATTCAGGTTTTAATATTTCCAAATTCTGTTACAAAAACCTGTATATTAGACCCCAGTGTGTCTGCTTTGTTAAAGCAGAATCCCTGACAATATTTTCTTGACCTCTTTAGGATGCATTGGCAGCAGTACAGGATCTCCAGAAGAAACAGGAATCGTCAGAAAATCAGCATTTGAACAAGATTGAAGTTCTGAATGAGGAATTGAAGACCGCTCATGAAAAACACAAAGAAGAAATCACCAGATTAGAAAATGAGCTTCAAGAATCAAACGTCAAACACAATACCCTGAGTGCACAACTTGAGCAACAGCTTGAAGCTCATTTAGTTCAACAACATGAAGTGAAGAGACTTTTAGAAGAAATAAATCGAGTTCAGGTTACTTCTGAGGAACAGATTTTGCAGTTGAGACAACAATTTGAAGCCAATGCTGAGAAACAGAAGAATGAAATAACAAGACTACAGGAAGCCAGTGGGAACTCTGTTGCAGAATATCAAAATAAAATGAAAAAATCTCCAGGAGGAATTTCAGGTAATGCAAACCAATCATTGTGACGAAGTGTCACAGTTGAAAGAACAGCTTGAATCTGCTGCTTCTGCGCATCAAAAAGAGCTTAAGACGTTGGAAGAAGACTTAGCAGAGCAATATTTACTAAAGGGGAAAAGTCTCCAGGATGAGCTGCTTACTTGTAGGACCAACAACGAGCATCAGTTAAATCAACTGAAAGAACAGTTAAGGGAAATGACAGAAAAGCAAACGGAGCAGTTGCAAGGGGAAGTGCCTAAAGAATCAATTGTTGAAGAGGAACGGTTGAAATGTCTAGAGAAAAGTTTGAAAGCATTAGAAGTGCAGCATAGGTTGGTGCAAGATGAGTTTAAATACACAACAAATTTAAAAGAGAAGTTGGAGACAGAACTGAATCATATTAAGGATGACTTTTTTCATGAGAGAGAAGACTGGGAGTTCAAAATAAACGAACTGCAGCTTTCTAAAGAGGAATACATGAGTACAACTACAAAGTTAACAGAAGAAGTCAAATCTGTCAATGACCGCTGTGAATTGATGATGAACCAGCAATCCTATGAAATTCAGGTTATAGAACAGCAACATGCTAAAGAGCTTTCAACTTTAGAGGAGAATTTGCGTACTGCTGCTGAAAAAGATATCCAAGAATTCCTACTTGAGGCAGAGAATCTTAAAAAACAATGCCAAATGTTGCTGCAGGAGAAGGAAGAGGCACAGACTAATTATGAAAACTTGCGTAAAAACATGGAAACATTACAGACTGAACTGGAAGAATCTGCTTCAAAGATCAGCCATGAATTTGAAGCCATGAAACAACAACAGGCCAACGAGGTTCACGATTTGCAACAGAAACTCAGAAGAGCTTTTAGTGAAAAGGATTCTCTTCAGGAAACTATGAACAGGCTACAAGCTGAAGTGGAAACTAAAAACAAGGCAATTGAAGAGCTGAATCAAATGAGTAAGCTTGAAGTGAAGATTCAAGATCTGATGTCTTCAATTGAGCAGAAGGAGTCAACGTTAACTAAAACACAGGAACAACTAGAAATTTCTCTCAGAGAGAAGGAGGAACTAGTGACTGCAGCACAGACCTCAGAAGAGGTAAGTTGTAGGTTGAAAGAATCTTTTGAAAAGGAGCAGGCTAAATGTGTAGATTTTCAGCAGCAAATACAAGTACTTTATGAGGACAGATACAAATTGCAAGAAAGATTGGACGAAACTGCAGCTAAGTTGGACGTGGCAATTTCAGAAACAAACTCCAGCTATCATAAAGCAGAGGAGTTGGAGAACAGACTGGGTGCAGCTGTTACAGAGAAGGAACATCTGGTTGCTGAAATTAAGAATTTGAAAGACTTTAATACAAATTTAGAAAAGCAAAAGGCTTTGCAGAAAGACACAGAAGAGAGTGAAAATCTGGAAGTCAGGGATGAAAATCTTCACAATATCAATGAACAACTCGAATCTCTGATCCGGGAAAGAGATGATCTCAGTAAGCATCTGGAAGCTGTAATTCAGGGAAGAGACAGTCTCCAACAAGCAGATGAAATTAAAAAACAAAACCTGACTGATATTAGACTTACAGTAATGAATATTCTTGAACAAGTGGACTTCAAGTATGCAAATGATAGCCCTGAGCTGGATGTGTTGGAGTCTGTGAAACTGCTGAAGGAATCTGTAGCAAAAATTCAGGAGGAGAGGCAGTCTATAGTGCTACAATTCCAGCAAGAGTTGGACACACTGAGAGATGCAAATGGTGGTCAACAAGCTGAGTTTAGGTCTTTAATTGATGATCTTAGCAAAGAGAAATCCTTCTTGCAAAAGCACCTGGATGACTCTCTGTTGGATAAGGAAGGGCTGCAACGGGATGTGTGCGAGATGCAGAACCTCAGTGAAAAACTCACACTTGAAAATGAGTGTCTACTGGCTCAGGTTCAGAATGCCACAGAAAAGATTGAGAACCTGGAAAAAGAGAAGAACGAACAGAATGAGAGGAGTGAAAAACAAGCGACCGAGGGCACTGAGGAAGAGGAGCAATTGGAGCACCAGCTAAAGGAGAAAGATTCTGAGTTGTCAAAGCTTAAACAGGAGCTGGAATCTTTGAAGGTATTTGTCTCCTTTCCCGATTTGCAAAATTAGAAATATCAAAAAAGACAAAATATTATTATAGAAACTTGGTGACAAGATAGATCAGTGAATTTTCACCAAGTTGGGGTGTGTTCTAATCTACGCCACACCAAAGGGATGACCATTTCATTCTGTCAACTATAAATGTTGGAATGAGTTTAGGCAGTTTCATAGGAACTGGAAGAGTCCATTCAACCTATTGAGCTTGTTCTATTTAAACTCTTATTTGCTAGCCTCAAGTTGCAGCTAAAATGCCTAATATTCAGTGAGGTACTTAGGGGTAAATTACACTTTGTATGCCATTTATATAAAATGGCCTTTGTAATTATAAAATATACAATAATAATGTGTTTTATTTTTTCTGTAAGATGGCCTGACTTTCTTTAGGAGTTTTGAAAAATCTGTTTTAAAAGGTATTGGTCCCCTTTTGTGGTAAGCTTAACACAGTATTTGTTTAATTAGATCAATTCTGAATTTTTTATGTATTAAATTCTAAAAAAAATGTAATTAAAAGTTTGAATTAAATAGGGGATTCCCTTTTATGCAGCAAATCGCCTTTACCATACTGCATACCAATTCACACTTTTAACCAATGGATATTTAGCAGGCTAAAGGTCAGTTCCAGTTTGGATAAAGAATTCCTTCTTATTAATAATGAGATACAGCATTTGTTTCCAAAGTGAAATGTCCATAACTCAAGCACTCATTGGGAAACAGGATAATCATTTTTGGAACCTAATGATCGTTCCAATTTTTAAAATGAAGTCATCCTTAATACAGGACAACTTTTTTAAAAAAAAACTTTTGCTTCTTTGATTCAATGCAGGACTTGATGCAAAAATCATCCAGTGAAGAGAATAGCTTGCAAAGCACCGTCGTAGAGATGAATGACAAAATAGGTACGGCTTCCTTTAACTTAAATTATCAATGTTTTGTTACGTGCATTCAGTTAAACTGTATAGAATTGGAGTTTGTTTTAATATTTTCATAGGGAGGCATATTTTTCCCTTTTCCTCCAATTTGATTAAAATCCTGTTAATAAAATTGACCCTAATAACAGGAAAACTGAACTACCATCATAACTGCCCCAGCAAGCTAATATTAAATTAAATCTTTAATTGTGGCCGTAAACTATGTACTTTCATAACAATGCATCATCTACTCTCTTAAGCTATCTTATTTTCAGTTGGAAAATTTAAGATCATGTTAGCGTTTGTAGCAATCCGTTTGTTAGTCGATTGACGGATCACTTTCCAAGGGTAATAATCCCTTGAAAAAAGAAACTGACTCCACGACTGATTGTGGAACACTGCTGTGCACAATTGACTGCCATGTTGCGCCCACAAGATACAGTCAACTTACTTTACAATAAATTCTGTGAAGTACTTTGACATCTCAACGATGTGATAAGGCGCTATATCAAATGCAAGGATTATTATTTATTAATATCCTTTCCCACCCTCGGCCCCAACCCCAGCTCAAGTGTAAATCCTGGACTGTTCATCGCCTTGGTATGTCCTCCCAATATGAAAAACGTTATATAAATGTAAATTGTAGTTTTGTAACCTTGTGTCTTTATTGGGATGGTAACCCACATAGGTAGCAGATCATTCCAAGTCTCCAGTCACAGATGTAGAGTGGTCCAAATACAAACCCAGACATAACATGTAGTGAGACTGCATTAATGGAACCTCTGGTATAGTGTTAGGACCAAAAACACTTTCAAAATCTAGTGTCAATGCTGAACAATATGACTACAAACCATATATTACTTAAATCATAAATGCTTCAATTCTTTATTTATAGCCAGATGTAATGCCAAATCTGTAAATATTTTCCTCTCAGTCAGAATTTCATTTTAGTATATTTCAGTCTTGATGAAAGACTGTCTAGACTTGCAACTGCTGAAAATGGAAACTAAGTATATTAAAATCCTCTTATGCTGTTTGAAAGCACCAAAACTTTTTATTCTTATGTACAGAAACACCTGGTCTACAAAATGTAGTCTTATTTGTTTTGATGTACAAATATATGCTTGCATAATCATTCTTCCTTATACAGATGGTGACTCTTAGCTCCCTTTAAGCAGCTGTCAAAAGGCCACCTGGGAGCCACTTTTGATGTTGAGCATAATTCTCCCATGGTATACAGTGGGGACAATGTCCTTATGCCAAGGATTATTTAATTTATCAAAAACAAGCATCTCTTATTTTGAAGCATTGATGCTAACTTTTCTTGCAAGGTGTCAGCAAACTTAGTAGCACTTTTGTCTCTGAATCCGAAGGTTTTGGTGTGGGTTCGAGCCCCACCTTGGGACTTTGAACTCACCTAGTCTAGATTTACACTTCAATATATATGGCATTACATCTGGCTATAGTAAAGGATTGAACTATGTACGATTCAAGTAATATAGTATATGTTTTGAGGTCATTTTATGTATTCAGTATCGTCACTGGATTTTGAAAGTGGTTTTGGTCCCAACATTATAGTGCTGGGAATGCGTTGTCTTGTTGCAAGTGGCATCGTATTGGATGAGACATTAAACCAAGGTCCTGTTTGCCTGTTCAAATGGACATTAAAGATCCCATGGAACTATTCAAAAAGAGAAGAGTTTTTCCCTGGTGTCGTGAAATATATAAATAAATACAGCTGGGATACTGATAGCATGATGATTTAATGACAAGTTAAGCCAGGGTTGAGCTACTAGGAGTTTACTATATTACAAAGTCACAGCATAGTACTTGCAGATAATGAACTTTAAAAATGAACAATATAAAAATGAATTTTGACTCCTGTCTGATTTTATTTATTTTTAAAAAGTTGCTCTGGAAAACACAAGTAAAGACAAAGATACAAGATTCAATAAGATCAAAGCGGTAGCAGTAAAAGCTAAGAAAGAACTTGATGGCAGCAAAAAACAGGTAAAGCATGCTTTCAGGATTTTGTTTTAGTCTTTGCAGTGTGGGATTTTTTTTGTAAAAAAAAATTGATCTTGATTCCAATTAGGTGCTGCTATTAACAGAAGAAATAGAAATTGTGAAATCCGAGAGGGACAGATTATCGGATGCCATGAAAGACCTTATCCAAGGAGCAGAGGGTTACAAGGTACACTATTAATTTATAGAATGTATTATCAGTATGTACTATCATGCTTCAGCCTAGCTCAATGGTGGCATTCTCGCCTCTTGAGTCAGAAGGTTATGGGTTCAAGCCCCATATTGTGACTTGAACTCACCCAGTCTAGGCTGACACTGAAGGTGAATGTAAGCTATTTCTGTGAAAAGTCAGTGAAGTGGTGATCCCTTCTTTATCCAACTGAACCACAAGGTTAAATGGGTTTTAAAATTGATAATGCAATGAAAATCTGGAATGATGACCTGGAAATAATAATAATATTGTACTTAATATAAAATGCTGGTATGTAGGCAAATGTGACAGCCAATCTGGGCCAGCAACGTTCTACAAACTGAGAGTAAAATTGAGAAGGAAAGGAAAAAAAGAAAAATGAGAGTAAAGAAAAGAAAAATTAGTAAATATGGAGTAAAATTAAAGGGAAGACAGGGATGTCGGGAGCTCAGACCAATACATTGGCAACCAATTCATGCACATTGGAGAGTTCGAGGCCTAGAATAATGAATAATAATTCTTGGTTATCCAGTTCAGGAAACTGTCTCAATTACAAAATATGCAATTCATTGATTTAATCAGCATATGAGTAATATCTTACACTTGTGAAAGCACTGGAAACAAATGAGTACTGTACTTTAGCGAATTACAGTTGCCTACAAATTGTGCCTGTTATTTCCTCATCCTGCATCAGGCTGCCGGTTTTCCATTACTGTCTACTATTAGAGAAACCAAACATTGATTTATGTAGATCATACATAACTCATTAAAAAAACTAAGAAAGGAAGTAGTTCTGTTTTAAGTGGCTCATTTTTGAAAACAAATTGGAGATAATGCAATTATATTAAGGTGTCAGCCTAGCTGAGTTGTAGCTCTCTTGCTACTGAGTGAGAAGGTTGTGGGTTCTAGCCAAATGTGGAACTTGGCACTCACAGTCTAGGCTGACACTTCAATACAGGAGCTCAGGAGCCCTGCATTGTTGCAGTCCTTTGCATGAGATGTTAATCGAGATCCACCCGTCTGCCTGTTCAGGTGGATGTTAAAGATCCCATGGCATTCTTCGAAAAGGGAGGGGACTTCAATCCCCCAAATAAAATTGGACACTCACCTCATGGCTATTTGTGAGACATTGCCATGCAAAATATACAGTCACTACACTTTACAATAAATCCTGTGAAGGGCTTTGAGACGTCCTTCTGACATGGGAGGACGTCTCAAAGCATTTGATATGATGGGAAGTTCTCCCACCATATAAAATGAAAGGATTATTTTTATATTTCCATTTTAATAAAAATGTAACTTTTATGTTGATCCTACTATTTTCTCATGATCAACTGCAAATTATTACTTGATAAATTTGCATTGATTATGTCACAAACCTTCAAGGGTATTAACCCACATCAATCCAATGTTCTGGTCATTGATGTCTGACATGATATTGATTGCCAGGAAAAGAATAAAAAAGGGAAGAGTATGCAGTAAATCTATAGCATTTATTGTAATAGATATTGTTTTAGACATAATATATGATACAATGTGTGTGTCAGCTTGATTCAGTGATAGCGCTCTTATCTCTGAGTCAGAAGGTTGTGGGTTCAAGTTTGAAATTAGGACTTGAACTCACATAGTGTAAGCTGACACACAAATATAGTGCTGGGAGTATGTTTCATCGTCGGAGGTGCCATCCTTCAGATGAGATATTAAACTGAGTTTCCGTCTGCCTGTTCAGGTGGATGTTGTAGATCCTATGGCACTATTCAAAAAGAGAAGGCAGTTTCTCCTGGTGTGTGGCCAACAATCCCACAAATAAAATTGATTATTCTTTTCATGGCTGTTTGTGGGACATTGCTGTGCACAATTGGGCTGCCGTGTTTGCCAACAAATACACATTCACGGTCACTCCATTTCAGTAAATCCTGTGAAGTGCTTTGAGACATCCTTCTGACTTGATAAGACACTCTACCAAATGCAAAGATTATTATTCTGCTTGAGAATGATGTTAAGGCATAGTCTCTTCTCATGTTCAAATGGTAATTATAAATCATGAGATGAAAGCTTCTGAGGTTTTATAACTGTCATCATCTCAACCCCGTATTAGATTATTGCTTGTAATCAATCGTGGGGGTCCTTTAATCTCTTTGTAGACCAATGCCCTGAAAGCATCCAATTTGCGCTGTAACTTATAATTAGGCCAATTAAAATTAGTAAGGCAACGCATCTCCTCTCCAGCACAATGTTGGATGATCAACACTTTTTGTAGAAGCAGCTTATTAAGTAGCAAAATTGATTTTTAAAAAAAACTTGAGAAAGGCTGACGTTTATTGAACTGTGATAATTATGTGTGCCTGTCTTTCAAGTTTAACAAAGAAGGATATGCCCTGGGCAAAACCTACGAGGCACTTGTGTGTTGAAACAGCAGATGCTAAAGATCTTGTTCAAAAGAAAAGATTTGAAAGAGTTAATATGAGTCTACAGTATGAGCAGTTAAATTATTATTCAAGATAATTGAATCTTTAACCCAGAGTGATTGACTTCTTTCAGCTGTTCATTGGTCTGTTTATTCCGTCTCCCTGGAAAGTTGGTTGCAGTGATCCCAGTTTCCATCTGAACTGCATTATGACTGAACGTGAACAATTGAAGGTTTTGTGGAGCTATTCTGCTTCCTTAAGAGATTAAGAACATGCACTGCATTGTCATTTGCAGACCAGATTTCTCAGGAATTTGGAGAGCTTCAGTCTACATTCAACAAGATTAAACAAGTGTTAATTCATTCCAATTGTCCCCTCCATTCACGTAAGGCAAAAATCCCGCCAATGCTGGCTGTTTTAACTAAAATATGTTTTTTTTTGTAAAAAATCAGCCAACCTAAATGACAGAAATGCAGACCAAGATTCCTTTTTAAGGTACACTATCTCTAATTTAAAGCCATTTTACTTTGGTTTAGAATCTTTTGCTTGAGTATGATAAACAAGCTGAGCGGCTGGATATGGAAAAGGAGCGAGCAAATTACTGTGAACTTCAAGTGGAGGAGCTTACACGACACATGCAGACAGCTATTCAACAGGTACGAGGATGTTGTCTCACAGGATGTAAGCCTAGATGTTGTCCAGGCTTACAGCAATATTTTCCTTAAGTAAAACATACAGGTATTGAAAGGAATCTTGTCCTATTTTGATGAATCTTGAAATGAAATAAGAATTAATCTTCATAGCTTCTGTACATTTCCAGCATTTTCTGTTTATAAGTCCCATCACTACCATCTGTATTCTAGCAACTTAGTAAAGGTTGTTTTGTGTACAATTAAAAAATGAGCAAATGCAGAGCATTCATTAAGTCGTGAGGTAAAGTGTAATTTTTGATTTATTAAAAAAAGTATGGTGCTTTGGATTACAAGCTGAAAATTTTAACTAGCTCTTCAATGAGAATTTTAGGAACTGTGATACATTTCAGCTGTTTGCTTCATGTTAAGAAAGTTTTCAAGATACCTCAAGGGAAAAGTAAACATTTTCTTACAAAACTCCTATTCAGTCCGCACCAACATCCTTCATTTATTCCGATTCGGAAGCAGAAGGCCACTCAGCTCATTTTATCTGATCCTTCCATCATCTTCCCATTACAGTATCAAGCTATTTGTTGAACTAATCTCACATCCTGATCTCAACCACCTTTTCCTAGCAACCCATTTCAGCTGCCAATTAGCATATGTGTGATGAAATACTTCCTAAAATTGTCATTCACAGCCTATGGTGGATTGTCCCTGTACTTTGGTGTATCTGAAAATACAGTTCTGGGTATTTAAANTTTTTAATATAAATACGTTTAATATTAATTTTAGTGGGTATTCCTCCTGATTCCATCCCACAGTTTCTGAGCAAATTCTTGACTGTCCAGCACCTTGGGACGTCCTCCCAACCATAATAATAATAATAATAAATCTTATGTTTGATATAGTGCTTTTCACATCTTTTAGACATCTCAAAGCGCTTCACAGAATATGCTGTAAAGTGAATTGACCGTATATTTGTGGGTGAAACATGGCAGCCAATTGCGCACAGCAGTGTCCCACAAACAGTCGTGGATTGAAAATGACCAATTTACTATTGTTTTGTTTTGAAGGGATTATTATTAGGCGTGAAAGGCGCTATACAAATGTAATTTGTTGTTGTTGGGTTTAGTTGTCTATCCCTTTGAACATCATATAAAGCTTTTTTATATATACGGTTCAGTTTGAGATGTTTTTGAGGCTGAAGAGCCCCAGAGTGGGAATACTGTGTCACTTCTTTAATCTTGTTCAATATTTTTAATGTGTTCGTTGCAGCAAGACCAGCTGACTTCAGAAAAAGAAGATTTGTTAGCTCGAGTGGAGACTTTACAGTCAAATACCAGGCAGCTTGAAGTGCAAATCTTAGAATCGCATAAAGCCAAGTCAGCTCTAGAAATAGAGCTTGAGGGGGAAAAGCTTCTTAGGGAGCAGAAGACAAAGGTAATGGAAACTGAACATAAATGAGTGCCTTGCAGTTGTTGATGCATTCCATGGAACTTTCTATTATTTTCTTTTAAGATTTACGTTTTATTTAACAAAAAACTGAATGCTGTTCTATTTAGGAGCATCACACGGTGTTGAGAGAAATTGATGAACTTAAAAAGCAACTTCAGAAAGAGAAACAGCAGCTGCAACAAACTGTCCAAGAACTAGAATTTGTGAGAAAGGTAAAAAAAAACCTCGGAATATCTTTAAAAATGCGGTTCAAAAAATTGTCAACCTATAATTCTAATAAGCTGTGTCAGCTCAGTTAATAGCGCTCTTACCCCAGTCAAAAGGTTGTGTGTTCAAGTTCAACATCGAGATTTTGAACTCATACAGCCGAACACTGATCCAGTAGACTGCTGGGGATGTGATACATTGTGGGAGGTTCCATCCTTCAAATGAGACATTAGACAGGGGTCACGTTTGCTTGTTCAGATGGACGTTAAAGATCCCATGTCACTATTTAAAATGAGAAGCGAGTTTTTCCCAGAGTGCTGGTCAACAATCCTCCAGGTGGTCATTCTCTCATTGGCTGTTTGTCACACATTCGTGTGTGCGAATTGGTGCCGCATTTGCCTACAAAATACGCAGTAACTACACTTTACAGTAAACCCTCTGAAACATTTTGAGATATCCTCCCAAAGTGAAAGGTAATACATCAAATGCAAATACTAGGATTATTATTATGTTTGCTATCAGGATTTTGATAGGTTGCGAGGTGGCTCCCAAGGGGCTTTGGCACTAGATTGTTGGAATCAAGTAAATCCTCTGGCAGTCTTGGTAGCCCGGTTCCTGAGCTAGTCAGGTCTGCAGAACATCAGCATTCCTGCTGATGAACAGTCCAGCTAGCCAGGCTCGTCATCAGAAGTCTTGGAGGGGCAGACCAGTCACTGAGGAGAGGGACTCTTCCCACTTTGCTCCCTTTAACTCTGCAAGCCAAAGCCCAAACGGGTAGGCAGTCCTGGTTGGACAAACAGCAGGAAGCATGCCAGATAGTGATTTCAAAGGCAAGCTATGTGGTTAGCTGGTTAGACTCCAGCAGTAGCTCATCATAATCTGAGGTCCCCAAGCCTCAGCTCTTGGCAAACTGTCTTATACTCTCTAGAACTAGGGAAGCAGGGTGTTTTCTTCCAGGGAGAGAGTACACACTCCATTCCAGACACATGGCAATTTCCATACGTAGGTGGCGTATATGTCTGAAATTCTGGCTGGTTTGAATACGCTAAAGGATGGTATGGGTTTCCAGCAGGTGTCAAACCTTCAGATGACACAAAAACAAGCGATCAGAGAGCTGTAGTAGCATCATTTAAACTGAAGGTGGCAATGAGTCATTTAGTGCAGTACAAATATTGTATGGTCTTTGTATAGTTTGGTACAGTTACAATGTTTAACATTAAACATTTCAAAGGGAAAAAAATATTGTTACAAGTAGTGGTGCATTATGTAATAATAAAAGCTTAATAGAAAAAGTCATGTTTTCCAGGCAAATATTATTGTGAACATTTTAGTTGAATATTTGCTGTTGTGATTCTGTACTAGGATGCTCAGCAAAGCACCCTGATGGACATGGAGATTGCAGACTATGAGCGTTTTGTGAAAGAGCTCAACCAAAAAATTAGTGATCGAGACAACCGGATTGTACAGTTTGAAGAAGACATGGCTTTATACAAGCAGAAACAGAAAACACTAGAAGATGAAATAAGTAAGTTAAACAGTTTGAATTCTCTAAATCTATTGCTGGTTTACCCCAGTGGTTTTATGAATAGAGCTGAAAGGTTTTCCAGTTGGGGCATTGGCATGAGCACCCTGGGGTAAGGAAGTGAACATCAGCTGGTTCTGAGGGTATCCAGTGATTGCTGGTGATGCATACCCTTGACTGGACGTTGAGTGAGAACATCATCCGGAGTCGATTGGTCTGCAGTTCAAGTCTCTATAGTTGAATAGCCTGGCAAATATAGAGACTTTGTGAACAAGTCTGGCTGGCGCCTGCAGACCATAGCAAGATTCAGCCCTTTCAGAAAAGGAGGTGAGAATATTGGACAAAATCTAATGCTGATTTAAACTTGACTGTTTCAGAAGCGATTCTAGGACTGCATTCTCCATTCCTACACAAATTCATCCCTATTACTGTCTACGTTCCATAAACGTGTTGAATCTTAGTTTAGAAGCAGTGAAATTGGTTTACTTGGGTTGTTTAGAATTTGAGCTAAAATGTGATATTCATTACTCTATGAGTCACAAATAGCAACTCCTAAAAGTGGATCAGAATGATGTGGCGATTCTACTAACCTGAAGTAGATTACGGGGAGATGGAGTACCTATTGGTTGGTATGATCCTCTTTCAGTTACCAGCCGATCTTGCTATTTGAGGCTTAGAGTGGCTTTTCCATCCAGCACTGTGAATGCCCTTTGGGACATCTCATTATGTGAAAAGCACTCTAAAAATGTAAGTTGTATTGTATTATGGGACATTGTACAAGTGGGCAATACTTTTAGGTATATTTTCAAACAAATTTAAAAATAATATCATAAACACAAATCAACACCACCAGTATAATATAATTGAGATTTAAAGCTTTTTCACACCTTTGAATCTTTGTTTTGGCCTTTGAAGCAAAATAAATTTTTTGATTTTTTAAAATTATCTTTGCTATTGCAGTATCTCTTCAGAAAACCCTGGAGGAGGAAAAAGAGAAAAATACCCGGATGAAACAAATCCTAGTAAAAACTAAAAAGGAGCTTGCTGATTCAAAGAGAGTTGTGAGTAGCTTCAACTGGTCCAGCTTGCCCATAATCACCACAAAAAGCATGTTTTTCACAACATTTATAGACTTGTACCATACACGTCTCTGTACGAATTGCTATATGATGAACCGGTTCACCTTATTCAAGTTTGAGGGAGAAATTAAAATTTACATTAATATAGCGCCTTTCACTTTGAGAGGATGTTTCAAACCCAGTTCACACAGCTACTTATACCAACCTGCCTGCTCCCCTTCGCTTAGCCGTCACTGGTCTGCCCTACCCACCCCACCTTAGTGGTCAGGACTTTGGTCTTTCAGGCCCCATTCTCTGGAACTCCATCCCACAATCCAGTTGCCTTGCCCCTTCCCTCGCCTCTTTCAAGGTCCATCTGAAGACCTTCCTCTTCAACCGCATTTTCAGTCATCTTCTCACCTCTTTATGTGATGTACTTCTTGAAGCCAGGTTTGTATAAAGCCCTGACGCATGGGTTGAAGGTCTCCTTTGTCTTTTGGCTGTAAATTTAATAGGTTTCAACCTAGTTCACCACAGGCATGGACATACAGTACAAAACAGCCTCTAATTCCATCCTCCTATTTAGCAGGATAGTTACCTTAATCATGATGGTCCATCTGCCTGCAGTCTTTGTATACTCACTAGCTTTACATCATTCTGCACTAGAGATTGATCAGGAGAGCGGAAGATTATCCGGAAAACCCTGCTGTAAAACGCATTTTCAAAACATTGGAAACCCATTACAGCTCCGTGGTTGGAGGCCATAAAATCCAACCAGTTTTACAATGGGCATGATTGATTGTCTGCACTTCTGCAGTCATCGAACATAAAGCCACCTGGCTTCCCACACCAAAACATGGCTGACGTCCAATTCACTGCTAATGTCCACAGGATGTGACATCAGCGGCAACTTAATTACCTGGCAGTCAGCCATTTTTTAGCACAGGAGAAGCTGTCCCAACAAGTTAGCTTTCTGCACACACTTTACATTATTTGTTAAGTTACTGGCAGTGTCCACACCCCAATGCTCCATAAGCGAGCTTGAATTATAATGAAGTGCATTATATAATACATATGAATAATCAATGTGGAATTGATTAATTTTCTTATTTAGGAAGCGGACCAATCAGTTCTCCAAGCTTCTATAAAGGGAGAATTGGAAGCAAGTCAGCAGCAAGTGGAAAACTGCAAGGTAATTTAATTTATAATTGAACAAAATGCTTTGAAATGTATCACTTCAAAGCAGCATGTCACAAACAGGTTATGTACCAACTATGCACTGTGATACCATTCCATGAATTCCAGCAAATAGGAATTAACTTGTTTGAGCTGGCTTTTGAAAGATTTGTACAGTGTACAATAATAATAATAATAATAATCCTTGCATTTGATATAGCGCTTTTCACGTCGGGAGGACGTCCCAAAGCGCTTCACAGAACACACTGTAAAGTGAATTGACTGTATATTTGTGGGCGAACGCGGCAGCCAATTGCGCACAGCAATGTCCCACAAACAGTCGTAGATTGAAAATGAACAAGTTATTATTGTTTTTGGTTTTTGGAGGGATTATTATTAGGCTCTGTGTGGAGTAAGGAAACTTGCCCAAGGTTTCGCTCTGCCTGGAATTGAACTCAGGTCTCTCGCTTGCAAAGCGAGTGCTCTAACCACTGAGCTACAGGACTCCACAATGTTAGATTTGTCCAGTTTGTAATGGGTTATTGAACACGTCTTGACACACCATGTATATTTTATGTAAAGTTTGCCTTTAAGTACTTTGGAAAGTGAGACATGGACTGACTACGTTCAATACAAAATATTTCTGGGTGTATAGTGGGTTATGTAAAGAACAAATTTAAGTTTTACAGTGTATTGTCTTGTCATATTTTAACATCTCAAAGTGCTTCAGAGAATTACTGTCAAGTGTAGTCACTCTTGGAGAGTGTGTAGTTCAAAACAACTTTCTTAATCAATCCCAATACTCATGTGGTGATTGCTTATATGTTCCAAGAGTCGCACTAAAGTTGGCAACCATTTTTCACCTGGATCAAACATGACTTAGTGTTGCAAACCTAGCCAGAACTTTATTTTCTTAATAATTGATTTCTACATATGGTCGTGTGTGTTTCAGCTATGTAGTTCTTATAAGCTTGTACTCTGTGCCCTTTAATGTCCAATAAGCTTAGGTTTGAACATTTAAATTGAATTGCTGGCACTGTTCCTTGAATCACATCAGCAAGTCTAGTACTAGTTACCCAGTTTCTTTCTGAAACATATTTCTCAGCCACTGTTCTGTTGCTCTAATTTGGGTTTAAATTAAATTTGGGTTAAAATCTTTATCAGACAGTATGGAATTTTTTTTGAAAGAACCTTTTATGACTTGTGTATAATCAAAGCGAGCTGCATTTCATTTTTAACATTAGAATTCATTTGATGATTAATTAAACCCAAATATCCACTGTTAAATTATTAATCAGATTCTGCTAAATCCCTCTGGGCATCATCAAAAGCACTAAATTTGTTTGTGCAAGTTTACCTGTCGTGGCGCTAGTTCAGTATAAAATACATGTACCATGTGGTGGGTTGAAGTATACAGTGCGATCATCAGATAAAATTTTTGTAATACCTTTGAAAAAAAATCTATTTTGAATGTACTGTATAACATTTGTATTATCGGGAAAACAAAAAACTGTTTGAAATCTTGCACAATACAATCAGTTTTTTTTTAAATGGTTATGTTAATATAGGGCTATAATTTGAGATTTCATCCTTGTTCCTTTCTGCTGTAGATATCCTGAAATTTCTCACCGTCATGGTCCTAGCCTTGAGGGCTTTTTCTAAAAGTTAAGAATTTGGCAAATTGATAGAAGTGTTTAAAATCAAGCTTGATTTGGAAGCCAGTTCTTTTTAAGAGCTGAGAAAAAGTGGCTTCAAAATTAAGGCTAAATTTACGAATTTTCTGAATTTCAGCATGATTTAAATTTTAAAATAATAAATTTAATCTAAACAAGTTTTAAAAATTATTACAATGCAAGTAGCAAGTTAGGTTTATTGAATCTTAAAAAGAAATGTTTGTGTCTGTTTATATATGAGAGAGAGAGAATCTGTAGAAATTAGACTGTGTAACCTTGGTTGGAATTGAACATTCAGACTATTTAATATTGTAGATCCTGGTAGCTGAGCTAACTGCTGAAAAACACCGAATTCAAGAACAGTTTCGGCTGGCAAATGAACAGAACCATCGTACAGTGAGTGCGTTAACACAGAAGACAGCAGCTCTTGAAGAAGAGCGCAATATTGCAAAGGTACAATTTGTGATTGCACCATGAGCAGACTTTCAACTCTGACTTGCTCTAAAGTTAAGATAGATGTAAAAAAGCAACAAATTTAGATTTGTATAGCGCCCTGCCCATTGGGAAGTTCAATTCATCATGTTGAACATCACAAGGTGCTGAACAATCTAGAGTTTGCACCCAAGCTGGGGTGGGAGCCAAGGGGAATGGCACAGGAGAGGATGGAAGATGACCAAAGGCGTGGTGAAAGAGGAATGTTTTGAGGTGGATGAGGGTGATGGACTCAAATTGCAGATATCTTGTGAAGAGAAGATTTGGTTAATCTGTTGAGCAGAGAAAAAACAAACACCTTTGATGCAAACTTCAACAACATTCAGCAGTGGTTTCAGAAATTATTTATCAATGACGTACAAATGCAGTGTCTCTATTGGCCCTGTGGCTCAGATGGGCATGTCTGTACACAAAGCAGATGTTTTTATTAGTCCCAATGCTCCCTGTAGTTTCTAGAATAGTTTGGTTATGACGGAAATCATAAATAGATTAAATGTAATAGCCAATTTCCACTAAAAGAAAATTAGATGAAGGTTTTGTGGAAACCATATATCAGGCAACCCCATTTTTAAGCACCCTATTTTCAAAACAAGTAACCAGAAGGAATTGGTGTAAGCAGTGTTTCATGCACATGCACAGCATGTGGGACATAACAACAACAATTACATTTGTATAGCACCTTTCATGTCAGGAGGACAGTCCAAAGTGCTGATGATGTCAGTAGTGGCCATTTTCCGGGAATGCCATGCTTCCTGCATGCAGAGTGCGCGGGAAGTGATATTGCTGTGGCCATTTTGGCTTTGTGTTTTGCCCACAAAACGTAATCAATTCACTTTACAGTATATCCTGTGAAACGCTTTGACACATCTAGAAGACATGAAAAGGCACTATGTCAAATGTAAGGATTATTATTGTTATTATTGTGCCCCGTTTGTTATAATGCACCGGTTTATGGTTCATTGGGTTAGGGTTTATGGATCCAAACCCCAAATAAGGGGGTTATTCTGTATTACAGACTTGCCTTCAGCTCAAACAAAAATCCATTTGTGTGCATGAGTGAAATTACTGGAGTTGCTGAAACTGTTTCACTGTTAAACTCCTACACAACTTTGTACTTGCACACAACTGAATTCACAATTGTATGTGTGAACATTCATGGAAACCGATGCATCCTGAGACTGAAAAAAATCATTTTTTTAAACAACAACTTATATTATATAGGGCACTTAAGATAATGTCTCATAGCACCAGACAAGGTCTGACGCCGAGCATGGGGAGTGCGGAGGTGGTTACAGGCACATATGAAGAGGTATGTTTTAAGGCAGAACTTAAAAATAGAGAGGGGCTGAGCAGAGGGGTAGAGGGAGAGATTCCAGAGGTTAAGGCTGTAGAATCTGAAGCCACCACTGATGGTTCATTCTGAAAGTGCTCTGAGACTCAAACCTCAAACCTCCACCTTCTGCTGCTGTTTCACAGTCATGCTCAGTATATTGTAACCTTGTGCAAATATGTGCAACCAATAAATGAAACTACATTGCAACTCCGTTTACTGCATATTGACCAAAATTGATATAATTGGTGTAACTTTTGAGAGATTATTTATAGTTATTATTAAGGATTAATAGTAACACAGTAACTTTTCCAAACAGTGTACAATTTGTCATTTAGCCTATGTATCCTATTTCCCATAAGATTCCTTCTATGTATCTGTCACTAAATCTAATATTCTTCAACATAGCAAACATATATTGTAATATTTTTCAGCAAAATCTTCTTTTGTGTTCATGCTGTCTGAATAATACCACAGACTAGATTCACAATATTGCAAGTCCAAATCCTTGCTGTCAGTGTGGTTGTTAAAAAGAAAATAGTCATCAACTTCAAACAAAATACATCACTACCACATAGCACATCAATTAGCATTCCTGTCACATTATCACCACCTAGAACATGGCAAGCGCTATGCACACAAATTGGCAGGATAGAAAATAGCTGTCAAATTGTAAAAATATTCACTTAAATTCTACCATAGAGCCTCCTGTGGAAATTAAAGTGCTCAGGGGCATATTTTGATGACATAAAACATCATCCTCACCTTATAGTATATAAATCATCTAAGCCATAAGCATGTTTGTTTAAATGTTGATTGCATTTTGTCAATGGAAACTCCTATTGAAATAAGTTTATTGGTATTGCAGGCCGAGCAGACTGCAATTGGAGCCGAATTTGAAAGTTACAAAGTCCGTGTTCACAATGTACTAAAGCAGCAGAAAAACCGGTCAGCTGCCCAAAGTGAGACAGAGTTAACCAAGCAAGAAAGGCAAGTTATTGGATCCTAAAAAAAGCTTGTATTACTGATGAGTGGATTTATAACATGAAAAAATGCTGTTTCTATTTGTGATCACTGCCTCCTTTGACCACAAGGAAAGTGTGATCTAAGCTGTGAACTTTGCCTACTGACCTGTGATGACCTGACTGATGTGCTTCTGCGACCCAATATCACACTCACTTCCTTTTGTTCTTTTAGGTTCTTTTTGATTCAGATTGTTGGGCCAAATCTGCTACTGCAAAACCCTGCTACGGGGTCATAAAACCTACATTGAGATATTTGAATAACAATCCAGGCTGATTATGTTCATTTTCCTAATTAGCTTTTCCCTATGTTTTACATGAATGACAAAACTGCTTCTTTGGGGCAGTTGTAATTGAGTTCTAGGTTCAAATCCAATGTAATCAAGTAGGATGACTGACTCCTTTGTCCGAAATCTGCTGAATGTCATAAACCCAAGTACCAAATCTTTGGATCAATGTAATATAACTGCATATTGAAAGTGGCTTGCCCCATGCCTGACCCAGAGTATAGTTACAGTTGTTATCATCGGTAACCTTGATGAGTGACTGGGAGAAAGACAGAATCCAGTAAATTTAAGTGGATGTGTATTTTCCTCTTTGTAGAGAGCACCTAGAAAAGGTAATTGATCAGCTGAAGGCCAAGTTACAAGAGTTTCAGTGTAATCTACAGGCCAATGTAGCTGAATTGCAGGCATTACAGTCAGAACATGACACACTGTTGGAGCGACACAACAGGATCCTGCAGGAGACTGTGTCGAAGGAGGCAGAACTTCGAGAAAAGTATGTGTTTTCGTTTGATTATTTAAGCTCTTCACACTAACATGCAAACTTGTCAGTTACTAAATAGTTATAAATATTATAGTTCCCCACAAAACTTAGATAACTATTTTGTACCAGTTTGTGTAACTATAGAATTATATTGAAATCTCCAGCATAGAAATGGGCTATTCAACCCATGCCCACTTTTGAGCATAAACCCTGGCATGGACTAGTTGATCTGTTTCTGTTCAGTCATGTTTTATGAAAGGCTATAAATTACATAAAGTGGTACAAAATAGGTATTTTTTTCCATATAGTTCTAATTTGCGGTATCTCTTTATGGGATTCCTTAATAAGGAATCTATAATTTAAATGGGATACCTTCATGTAACTTGTAGTAGGTTTTGGTGTAATAATAATAATAATCCTTGCATATGATATGGCACCTTTTGAAATGTCAAGCTTTTCAAAGTGCTTTACGGGATATACTGTAAATGTATTAACTCACAGATTACACAATTAATCCACGGTAACTAAGGTCCTTATGTCTGTTTGGCGTGAAGTGTTGAGGTGATTTGCAGCTTCCCAACTGAACCCTTTTTTAACCCCTTTGGAAATTGTGTGCTGGAAAGTGTGTGTAATTGTGGACACCGAGTGAGAACAGTTGGTTCACTAGCCGCATGCCCTTTACCAGTCGATTAGCCTGCTAGCACTCACTGTCAAGGCTCAGAATAATAGTCCATCTGGTGCCTATGGAAAGAAAAAATAATCAAACTCCTTCAGAAAAGGAGGGATGGTTGACGGATAAAAATTGTCAGGAGTAAAAAATAACTAATTGCATCTGTTGCACTAATCCTATAAACTTGTTTTTTAAATTAATAGATTTTACAGCATGATGTGTATGAATTCACTCTTTCACCTTGAGGACTAATTGCTCTTGTTCTAGAAGTTCAGTGAGATGGAGCAAAGACTAAAAGCAGTCAACTGTCTGTCGAATACAAATTGTGTAAAGTAATTTCTTACGATTATTGATTAATTGAACCTGAAGTTACTGTTTCTTAAGTGCTGTACAGCAAGGATTTTTTTCTCACTGAGTTTAGATTTATTTTCAGTGTTAAGAGCCAATACTCAAAATGTAGTAATGCATCTATTTTTAGAAACATTGAAAAGGGTAATTTTCTGCTTGTCAGTAAATTTGCAGTTTTACAATGTGGAAGGAAGCCATTCACTCTGACTCTTTCAAAGAGACATCCATTTTCTTCCACTCCCGTGCCCTTTCCCCATTCACTTTCATCACCGAGCTTAAGAGTATCCAAATCAGACTGAGAGTTACATATGTGTATATCACCTACACTTGAAACTTTCTTTGGAATTGTCTGTGCATACTCTCTCTGGAGGGACGAACCCTTCTTACCTACTTCCGAGGGATATTAGGCACTGGTTGGCAAGAGTGAAGGCTTGGGGGGCCAAATTGTATATTGAATACCACGATAGCTTGCCATTGAAAGTACTGTCTTGCAAGCTTCCCACTACTGGTCTAGCTAGGACCACCCCACCAATTAGGATGTTAGCTTGCAAGGTTAACAGGAGCTGAGTGGGAAGAGTCCCTGCCCCCAGTGACTGGTCAGCCCTTCCATATCCTCCTGATGAGCCAGCCTGACTTGTCTGGCTTCAGTAGGGCTCTGGAGTATTGCGGACCCGCATAACTCAGGAACCTGACTATTGAGACCATCACAAAGGGTGACTATATCCAACATTACTTTGCTAAGCATGTCACCTTGGAGTTACGTCAACTCTAAGGAGTTCCTGCTTACCTCCCCTCACACCTCGTCATCCACCAAGCAACCCTACAGCTTAGTAGTTAGAGCACTTGCCTTGCAAGCAAGACACCTGGGTTCAATTCCAGGCAGGGCGAAACCTTGGGCAAGTTTCCTTGCTCCACACGCCTAATAATACTCCCTCCAAAACAAAAAAAAATTGGTCATTTTCAATCCACGACTGTTTGTGGGACACTGCTGTGCGCAATTGGCTGCCGCGTTTTGCCCACAAATATACAGTTAAATCACTTTACAGCATATTCTGTGAAGCGCTTTGAGACGTCTAGAAGACGTGAAAAGCGCTATATCAAACGCAAGGTTTAATATTATTATTAAGCAGGATAGTCTCATTACCAAAGGTTGTAGAGGAGCTCTCCTGATCCACCGATCCTCCTAGTCCTGTACATGATAAGGGATCTTGAAAGAGGTATGAAACTATATGATGATGATTATAGTTACATTTTGTACTGATCACTTACATTTAAAACTAAATTTCAAAGAACTTAATGGAGGACAATTGTGTTTTTTTTTAAATAATCATTTACAGGCTTTGCTGTGTGCAATCTGAAAATATGGTGCTAAAATCAGAGTACACTCAGGCTGTGAGTCAGCTGACTGCCCAGAACGATGCAGCACATCAAAGCTTCCGAGAGCAGGTTCGGCGACTGCAAGAGGAACACAGAAAGACGGTCGAAACCTTACAAAAGCAGTTGTCCAAGATGGAGGCACAACTGTTCCAACTCCAGAGTGAAAGCACTTTAGCAAGTGAGTCAGGATGTCTCTGCCCAATGACAGATTGCACTAATTTTGTGGCAATGTATTTGTGGTTGAAAGTAAACTACCTGTGCATGGAAATCTCCCTTTGTCTAGAATGAAATGTACACCCTTTCCCTCACCATCTCGAGCCATACTATTGCACTTTGAGGCAACCAATATTACGTCCCACTGAGTAACCCGGTGTTTAATTTAAGAGAACTATCTTGTTAATCTAAAGAGGCTTGTTGGAACAGGAAATATTGTCCAATGTTTTATTTAAAAGGAAATGTTGATATAAAGGCATTTTTATTGCATGTATCACTGATTCAATGATTACAGCACAGAAACGCTATTCAGCCCTTCAACTCTTTATTGGTATTTTTTCTCCACATGAGTTACTAATCTAATCACACTCTCTTATTTAACTCTTATACCCTTTAAACATTTAATTTTAAACTTAAATATAAAATTTCTCTTTTTCAAAAATTATCTAATTTCCTCTTAAAGGCATTTATTGTTGAACAATAGGCAATTGTAGAAATAAATGCCATTTATTTTTGTGACCAACTAAAACATTTACTGAAGCATTAGTTCAAACCAATCCCTGAAGCAGTCTTAACTACATACTTCACATTGGGAATGAATGAGGTCCAGAAGGGCAGAAAATAATCATCTGTGTAATTTTGAGTGCAGTTTCACTTTGCTTTCATCCTAATTTCTATTGGTCTGATTTGCTTCAATTTTCAGATAGTCAGATTTTTAATGAAATTTGAGAAAATGTTCAAACCAAAGAAATTGATTATTTATTGGCTTATTCACCATTTTTATGTCTTTCTCTGGTGAAGGCACTCTCTAATGTTGAAGATATAGTTCCATATGAGCACTCTGTTACCTGGGCCATAGAGACCAAACAGCAATAGTCATTAGGACAATTGATCATGGGAAATCTTCACAGACAAATCCAATCCTTTCCTTATCCAGTATCTGCATGTGCGTTTTTCAGAGATCTCTGGATTCGGAGAGGAACTTTGATGCATTCAAATCAGATACATGGTTACTATCTAATTTATTATAGGTGACTTTACCAACTGAGCTGTAGGAGTGAAGATGAATGTTTTAAGTAAAACAGTTATGGTGTATACAAACTTAGTTTTTCTTGCACAGATTGTTTGTTCACATTTACAATGTTCTTAATGAAATGATTGCAAGGTGTAAACTGTTCTATTTAATTAACTTTTTTGCCTTTCACTTATTTCCCCTCTTTGTTTCAATTCATATTCCCCTGCTAACCTACATATTTCAACAAGCTGCTTGGTTGCTTTCACTCTGCTTACATAAGCCCTCTGAACATGAATCATTCATGGCTCCTGGTTTCTTGAACATTATTTATGGTCTTTAGATCTTTCGCTACAAATTTACTACNAAAAAAACTAGCCTCTGATTCACCATTCAAAACAACTATTTCATTTAATTCTTAGTAAGAACCTTCCCATTATAAATATAGTATTCCTAAAAATTAAATAGTAGCTGAATAATGTATATCGTCACTCATCAATTCTTTGTTTTTATTTAAAGAGCAGTTTCTTCTGTATTGACTTGGATTTTGTTATGAAATTCCAATGTTTCAAAAAAGCCAGTTCCCCCTCATGAAGCAAGATAACATTTGTAATAACTGCAGATATGCGAAATTGGGCAAAATACAGTATGTTCTAAATAATTTGAATAACTTACACATTGATTGCTTTAGTCTCGTTCCAGCACCCACTGTTTGTATGACCCTGACACCCACACACTTGCCCGGCTTCACTGACTCCCCATCCCCCAAAAGATAGAGTTCAAATTCCTCGCCTTCAAAGCCCTCCACGGCCTTGTTCCTTCCTACCTCTATGACGTGCTAACACCATATTGACCTGTTCGGTCCCTCCGCTCAGCGGGCTCAGCCTGCTCCATGTACCTTGCCCACCCCACCATCGGCGGTTGGACCTTCGACCTTTCTGTCCAATCCTTTGAAACTCCATCCCTCAGTCCCTTTGCCTTGCTCCCTCCCTTGCTTCCTTCAAGGCACATCTCAAGACCCTCCTCTTTGACTATGCCTTTGATCACCCTACACCCTTCCTGATCCCAACACCCTGCTCGGGTCCAAATCCCGGACTATCCAGCACCTTGAGACGTCATCCCGACGTGAAAGTGCTATACGAATGTAATTTGTTGTTCTGATTCTGTTTTCTCTTTTTTTCCTTATTTAAGGTCCTTCACCACCTCAGCCATCAGGGAAGCCTTTGCGAGAACGGAGAAACGGGGACATACCTGTGTTGGATATTAATACCATTGACCGAGAGGAAGGGGAAGGAATGGAAATGATTGAAACCGAGTCAGTGTCTTCCTCCAGCACACAAATTGGTTCTCTTGAGCAACTGCTCAATTCTCCTGAGGTTAAGTTAGGTTGGTCAAAACTTCTGAATTTAAAATGGTCCCATGGTGGTATTTTTTTTGCCTTTATCTGATTACCAACAGTGTTGATATACTTTCGCATCTGATAAAAATGTTTACAAAAATTTTCAGGGTCATAAACCCATAATTATCCTGCTCTCTATAGTTTACTTTGTGACTATCTAATGTATAATTGAAGCCAAGGGAAAACTATTTCACCATCTGCAATGTATCAAGCTAATCACTGAATGTGTCCTCTACTGAGACTGAGAAGAAGCCTCATCGCATACTAATTTATAGTTAAATAAATCTTTGAGAAGTTTTTCATATTTGTGGAAGTTTTTGTAAAACTAATTTATGCAGTTTGCAGCACTTGCTTATCAGTAATACTACCTTCTGCACATTGAGATTTTAATTGGTCCACACTCGATAAATTCTAAATCTTGCTTAAACCAGTGGATAGTCGGTTGGTGGGCAGCAGCAAGTGGGAGAGAAGGGAGTTTCATCCGATTGGTCATTCACTTCATGTTTGTGGGGCAATGCTGTTTAAAAAAATTGGTGTTTGCCCACAAAATATACAGTAACTCCACTTTATAGTATATCCTGTGAAGCGCTTTGGGACGTCATCCTGATTTGTCTAGCAAATGTAAGAATTATTATTAAGTGTAGACTTATGAATTCCCTGCAGGGAAGTGGGTATTAGGTACAATCACCCTGGACCTTCTTCCAATGTGTCCTAGACGACAAAAACAACAACAACTTGCATTTATATAGTGCCCTCCACGCCGGACGGTGTCTCAGAGCGCTTAATGGCCGAGCCAATGGGAGGGGGAAGGTGACCGTAGGTAGACATCTGGAAACAGGTCAGCTACCTGCTCTCAACCAGAGAGAATATGAAATGACCAACTGCAAAGTTACTTTCCACTTCTTAATTTGAAATGCTTTCTTATTTTTTTTAAAAAAGTTGCAACAAATGTAATAACCGTAAACAAAATAATGCTGATCTTTATTCTGTGTCTGTTACACTCATTTTTAGATGCTCCCCAATGGCAGCCTGAGCCATCCAAAGATGAAATGGTACAAAAGTTAAACACGGCTACAAAGAGCATTGACCACTTAAATGGGCTTCTCCGTGAGACTGAAGCCACCAATGCCATCCTTATTGAACAAATCACGGTGAGTACAAACAGTTCTGCGTAGTAGTAAAAGAACCACTAAAATGTGAAAACATTGCTTGTGAAATGTACTCATAACAATCAACCGTAATTCTGTTAATTCCTTAATAAAATATTATGCCAGTGTCATCAAAATTTAGTATAGCCACTTTTTAAATGCTTTGGGATGCTTTCATGTTATGTACTTCTCTATAAATTTAAATATTTATTCCAAATCATCCCTTTTTCAAAATGAGCTATTAAATCTGAGCTCCTGTAGAAACCTAGCACATGAGGTCATTTGTTCCATCCTATCTGTGACACTGCTACTTGGTCTCCTGAATCACCCCATTTGTTTATTAATCCCACTGTATAGCCCTTTGTCCATATACCTAGTTGTTTTTATTGCCAGCTGTTTATCTGCCTTGGGATTCAAATGACTGTGCATTGAACTTTTGTAATAACGGCAAGAACTCTTGCCGTTATTACAAAAAAGCATTGGGAATATCTCCTGATTGTTATGGCTAATATCTCTCCTTCATTTAATTACTTCTGTGCCTCCCCCCAACCCCCCTTTCCCACATAAGATTAATTGCTTACTTATCTCAGTTGTTGGCCGATGCACAAATTAGTGACTGAATTCAGAAACATAGAAACAGGCGTATAGGCCATTCAGTCCCTCGAGCCTGTTCCGCCATTTTCTAAGATCATGGCTGATCTGTACCTCAAGTCCAATTACCTGCCCTTGCCCTGTATTCCTTAATACCCTGACCTAACAAATATCTTATCTACTTCTGTCTTGAAGATGTGAATAGATCCAGCATCCACAGCTTTTTGGAGGGAGAATTCCAGAATTTCCTTACATAACAGCCATTGTTTTGTTTCAAATTGCTTATTTTATCACGATTATTGCGTCCAGACTAGCCTGCACCAACTCTCTGCACACGGCACTTCCCAACTCTTCCCTTCACAAGCTGCAGAACATCCAGAACTCTGTAGCTCATGTCCTCTCCCGCACTAAGCTCCGTGAATCTATCCCGCCTTACTGGCTCCCCATCCCCATAGGATCAAGATCCTCGTCCTCACTTTTAAATTCCTTCATGGCCTTGCCCTACCTGTAACCTTCTAAAACTCTACCAACTCTTGTCTCCTTCGAGGTCCATCTCAAGACCTTTCTCTTTTACTGTGCCTTTGATTAGCTGTTCCTTCCCCGCTCTGGAATCTAAGTCCCAGCTCAGGTGCAAACCCTCGACTGTCCAGTGCCTTGGAGTGTCCTCCCTCGGTGAAGGACACAATATAAATGTAATTTATTGTTGTTTATATGAAATGTCCTATACAAATATTCAAGTTGTTATAAGGAAAATGCAAATGAATGGATCAGGTTTTAGACTAAGTACTAAGATGTTGATTCGGTTTGTCAGTTGGTATTGAAATGGTATTGAAATTTACAGTAATCATCATGTGAGTGAAGCTCTTCTTGTTCCAGTCACTGGAAACCAAATGTATGAAATAGAATTTAAGAAACTTACAATTGGAGCTCCCTCTGCTGTTTGGCAGTTATTGAAAACCAGTCTGATATGTGTTTGGGATGTTTTTACAATCACNTTTTTTTAATGAATTAACTTTAGATTCCAGTTAAAAACTTTTTGAACCTGTTTAATGCTTTGCTAATTATCATAGAATCATAGAATCGTACAGCACAAAAAGAGGCCATTCGGCCCATCGAGTCTGTGCCGGCTCTTTGAGAAGAGCAATGTAATGTCAATCCCACTCCCCAGCCCTTTCCCCATAACCCAGCAAACCCGTCCTCCTCAAATACCCATCCATCGCGTTTTTAAAAGTAGTTACCGAATCGCCCTCCACCACCCTTTCAGGCAATGCGTTCCAGATTCGAACAACGCGCTACGTGAAAAAAATTCTTCTCACTTCCACTCTGCTTCTTTTAGATACTATTTTGAATCTGTGATCTCAAGTCACCGACACACCCACCACTGGAAACAGTTTTTCCCTTTCTAACCTATTAAATCCCCTCATGATTTTGAAGACCTCTATTAGGTCTCCTCGTAACCTTCTCTGCTCCAATGAGAATAATCCTAACCTCTCTAGCCTTTCCTCATAATCAAGGTCCCTCATTCCTGGTACCATTCTTGTAAATCTTCTCTGCACTCTTTTCAATGCCTTAACATCCTTCCTATAGTGTGGTGCCCAGAACTGGGCGCAGTATTCTAACTCAGGCCTAACCAGTGTTTTATATAGGTTAATCATAACCTCCTGACTCTTGTACTCTGTGCCCCTATTTATAAAGCCTAGTATCCCATATGCCCGTTTTACAGCTTTATCTACCTGTCCTGCCACCTTCAAGGATTAATTTACCTGAACCCCCAGGTGTCTCTGTTCTTTCACCCCTCCCTAAAATTGTATTACCAGCCTGTATTGCCTCCCCTCATTCTTTCTACCAAAATGCATTACCTCGCATTTCTCCACATTGAAATTCATCTGCCATGTGTCTGCCCATTTAACATTCTGTCTATGTCTTCCTGCAGTTGGCTACTATCCTTCTCACTGTCTACTACTCTACCTAACTTTGTGTCATCCGCAAACTTGGAAATGGTGCTTGCTATACCCAAGTCCAGATCATTTATGTATATTAAGAAGAGCAGTGGTCCTAATACCGATCCCTGGGGGACGCCACTGTACACTTCCCTCCAGTCAGAAAAGCAGCCGTTCACCACAATCTGCTTTCTGTCTTCCAACCAGTTCTGGATCCATGCTGCCACTGTCCCTTTTATACCATGGTCTTCTATCTTTCTTACAAGTCTTTCATGTGGCACTTTGTCAAATGCCTTTTGAAAGTCCATATAAACTATTATCAAGTGGTTACGGACAGGAGTACCCAAGTGACGTGTATATTTAGTACTGAATGCAAGGATGAAGTTGCTTGTTCTAGATTTTGCTTTGTAAAATGTGACAAATGAAGACAGAACATTTTAATTGTGTTTAGACATTATGTTATCAAAAGCTTGCACTACAGCAATTTTAGTTTTTTTTATATCCCCAAAAAATAAACTGTTCCTTTAAAATGACTTTTGTCAAACTCCTTTGCTGCAGTTTTTTAGTTACTTTAAGTTGTTTTATTTGGGATTGTGCTAGTATAGAAAAGACTGCTTGAATCCTGTAACCCCATACATGCAATGAGCTTTCTTTTCTGTAGCAAAAATTATCAAAGGTTATAACCCAATTTTCTCCAATTGAGCCTCCCATTCTGTGTTCTCTAGCATTCATGTTCATGTGTTCCTTCCAATAGCTCTTGAAAAATGAAGTGAGGAGGCTAGAAAGGAACCAGGAACGTGAGAAGTCTGTTGCAAACCTGGAGTACTTGAAGAATGTTCTGCTGAAGTTCATATTCCTAAATGCAGGGAGCGAGAGACAGAACCTGCTCCCAGTCATTGATACAATGCTGCAACTCAGCCCGGAAGAGAGGTCCAAGCTTGCGGTCATAGCTCAAGGTAAGTTGAATGAAATCAAGAAAATTCAACCTTGAAATAAACATGTTGAATGATGATATCGGTACACATTAAGTTGACCATTCAACATAAGGCTATACTTTACCACAACACACTAATGAACCAAAAAGTCCTGTGCTACAGAATGGCAAGAAGCAGTTTCTCACACGATGTTCTCGATAATTTTACAAGATGAGCAGTACCAGATTCACCCTTAGTCAATTAGATGCACAATGAATCTAGGGGAAAACTTATGAAGTGGATAAAATTTCTAGAGGGAGTACTTTCTTTTGAACTATGTCACTAGGTACAGAGGGGTAAAAGTGTACTTTCCTTGCAGTGAGGAAGCCATTCTTTTTCGCACTTGATCATCCCTGAGTGACTACATTGAGTTTAACATAGGGAGGGGAGAGAATCATGGAAACAGGAGATGTTCTAGATACTCTAGAAAAGCAAGGATTCCTTGACCTATGAAAACTATGCTTTCAGAAATGTACTCTTTCCTTATTTTGAAGTGAAATACTTACACAAATAAGCAAAATTACATTTGTATGATGTCTTTCATGTTGGGAGGATGTCTTAAGGCGCTGGACAATCAGTATTTTTTGGACCCGAGCTGGGGGTCATGATCGGGGAGGGTGGAGGGCAGGGGGGGAAGGAGGGTGACTGAAGGCACGGTCAAAGAGGAAGGTCTTGAGACGGGTTTTGGAGGAGGCAAGGGAGGGGGTGAGGCGGAGGGACTGCGGGATGGAGTTTCAGGAGGTGGGGGCAGACTGACTGAAGGCCCGCCTGCCAATGGAGGGACAGGGGATGTGAAGCAGGCCAGAGCACGATGAGTGGAGGGAGAGGGAGAAAGGCCATGGAGGACTTAGCTTTATCTAAACTTCTTCCCTTTCAAGCTGATGAATAGAAAGTTATGCTTGAAGACTGAGTTGAGGAAGGGCAAGAGGAGGCTCATGTGGAGCATAAACACCAGCATAGACCAGTTGGGCCAAATGGCCTGTTTCTATGCTGTATATTCTAATGTATTCTAATGTAATGACACCATTTTTGATTTTCTAGGAGAAGAAGAGAACACTTCAAGGTCCTCTGGCTGGGCATCATATCTTCACAGTTGGTCAGGACTGAGATAAAGATGGATGGGATAAGAATTTAACATTCCAGCTTTTTCAGAAAAAAAACACCAATCTCTCTTATGTAGGTGATGATGGAGTGGTCATTACATCAACTTCTCAGAAGGCTGCGGATTTGGCTTGTAATTAGCCTCAATCTGTAATGCATTCATAAAAGAGTCATTTTTGACACTTCTAAATCTGATTTTTGTATCACAATAGTGACTTAGCAAACATTTGTAGCTGAAAAATAACATTTTTTCAGGTATTTTCACAGAAAAGGAATTGGTCTTGAGCAGGTTTTGTTTAAATTAGATTAATGGCCCAGTTTATCTACTCAAATGGATGAAAGCCATATCAGAATTAGCATGACACTTGCATGATAAACCCATATACTTATGATTGTAATTATGAAAAGGGGATATTGAAGTTTATCGTTATCTGATGCAATTTGGTCTTGTGGCAATGGGTCTCTATCTGTAAATGAGAATTATTCAATGAATGTTACGATCAACCTGTTGGACTAAAATAGTTAATGTCTTCAAAATGTGAAAGGAATGTAAGATTTTTTTTCTTCAGTTAAAGTTTGATCCTATTTGTCACATCTGTTGTCCATTAGCACTGAGCATCCAGACTTGAGAAACTGTTGAGTTCTTGCACATAAAATTAGTGTTGCAAGTCTACCCAAGTTGCATGTCAGGTGACAGTGGAGTCCTCATAAATTTAAGCATGATCTTAACAAACAAATTCCAATGTATTCATCACTGTCATAATATGTCACTGTATAAGCATAAGGCTATCAGCTACATAACCATTAGGATTCAGTGGTTTGTTATGGTTTCCTATGACTTTAATGTGGGTAAATCAATTATCTAAATTAATTACACCCTTGTATGGTACCAAAAATGTAAACAACATGTGAAGAAAACGAAAGTACTGAAGGGATTTGTGGCATGATTCCCATACATTGAAGATGGATACTATCAAGCCATTAAAGCAAGATCAAAGCTGAATACACACATTTAGAACAAGAATATTTTATTTTTTTAATATTAATACAAATTAAGTCAATATATTTGTTTCTTAGCAAAGGATGTTAAATAACTTAAAATATATGTAATGAGGTACTTTAACATCTTATATTTTCTGACAATGTCCCCCCCAAACTGTACATTTGTATTTCAGTATGCAGATTTTTTCCCTGTATTTCTGTGTGGTGTATGTGATCGTGTGTTTGTGTGCAGATGCAATTTCCTGTCTCCCCAAAGTTATTTTTCTCCCCTTTTCCTGTTGGACCACATATTGAATGGCAGAGGACAGGTAAACAAGCTGCTGTCTGGTCTCTTTCAGCCACTGAACTGTATAAATGTGTGTTTGAGAAACCAGCTACTGATCCCTCTCACAGTTTTTTTTTAAAAAAAGGACACATTTGTGACTGACTTCTGTCTTTTTGCACTATAGTTACATACAAACACAAACTGCCCACTCGCTATGATGAACCATTCACCGTAACTCAAAAGTGAAATGGAGAGGCAAGCCTCATTTGTGGATATGCTGTGCGCAATTGGCTGCCGCGTTCGCCCACAAATATAGTCAATTCACTTTACAGTGTGTTCTGTGAAGCGCTTTGGGACGTCCTCCCGACGTGAAAAGCGCTATATCAAATGCAAGGATTATTATCATTATATTCTACATCATAGAATGGTGAAGGATGGATTCCACGTTTGTGGCTCCTCTTGATATTTTTCAGGGCCTGTAAGTTAACTTAAAACTCAAGTTTACATATTTGCACAAATTGTTTCAAAACCAATGTGCATTTGCAAATGTAGTTAAGGAATTATATAACTTCAGCCTTTAACTTTTGAGTATAGCTACTTTAGTTTAATAGAGCGAGGGAAATCCATATTTGCCTTCTGTAACAGAAAACCCGTAACTAAAAATTATACTCATTGCTACACAATCCTTAGAATCCAAGCATTGTATTTATAACTACTTGTATGTATTTAGTCAATGTCCACAGTATGAACTTTGTCCAGCTCCTGTGTCCGGTTACCTAATAGCAGGAAGAGTGTTTAGAGTGACGGTGGATTAATAAGAACAATGACTTTAGCAGTATAGTTCATAGCTATATTAAGGGGAGAGGGGAAATCTTTAATTTAACTGAAGGTTGACTTTAAAGACTGCCTTTGAGAATTAATTTAAGTTTTTGTTTACAATTGTTTTTGTTTTAAAAAAGGCTACTAAGGGAAAATGGAAGAAGAGAAGAATTATATTCTTTAAAATGGGTCACTTTATGTGAACTGTGATGTCTTAATCTGTGAAGATACTTGTGTTTATTATTGTTTTCTTAAAGGGTCAGGGTCTTTATCAATTTTAAAAACTAACGTTTGCTGACTTTTGCCTTACAAATTTGTGGCCTACTTTTTCCAAAAAGCTGAATTGTTGATTGAAGCTCAGAATGAACAATTATCGTAGTTGTTGTTTGAGTTTTATTTTATTTATGTTTGTAACTGTTTTCCAGTTGATTTGTCTAAAATACAAAACTGACCATTACATGTATGAGCAGTTTTTTTCCAATTGTATAAATTCATTGCACTCTTGTTAAATAAAAGACTTTTCATAATTCAACAATTTGGTTTGTTTCTGAACATTTGTTTGAACAAATAATAATCCTTGCATTTGCTATGATGCCTTATCTCATCGTTGAAACATGCTAAAGCATACATAGATTTACATAGACTATACTGAGTGGAAATAGGCCAAGCAGCTCAACTGGTCTGTGCCTGTGTTTATACAGGCTAGATTATTGCCAACTCTGTTCACTGGGCTACTTGCTTCTTCCATTCACAAGCTGCAGACTATCCAGAGCTCTGCAGCTCATATCCTTTCTCTCACTAGCTTCCGCAAGCCTATCACTCCCATCCTCACCTGGCTCTGCAGGTTCCCATCCATCCAGTGGATCAAGTTCAAGATCCTCATCCTAACCTTTAAATCCCTGCTTGGTCTTGCCCCATTTTTCCTCTGTGACCTCTTCAAACCCTACCAACCCAGTTGCTCCCTCTGTTCTGCAGGCAGCCTGCCCCACCATCAGCAATCAATCTTTCAGCCCATCTATTCCCACACTCTGGAATTCCATCCCAGAGTTCCTTTGACTTGCCCAATCTCTCACCTTCAAGGTCTGCTTCGAGATCTTCCTCTTGACCACACTTTCAATCATCTTTTCCCCCTAACCTCACCTCCCCAGCTCAGATGTAAATCTCTGACTGTCCAGTGCCTTGGGACATGCTCTCAATGTGAAAGGTGCCATATAAATGTAAATTTGTATTGTATTGCGGTATACTCCATATGAGTCTCCACCCACCCCTAACTCCCTCCCGTACTTTTCTATTCCCATCTCCTTCATGTGTATATCTAGCTTTCTGTACTGTATAGGGAACTATAGACGGGTTAGTCTGACATCAGTGGTAGGGAAAATTCTTGAGTCCTTAATTAAATATGTCGTTATGGATTCCTGGAAGACCATAACAAGATTAGGCAGAGTCAACATGGCTTTACAAAAGGGAAGTCATACTTAACTAATCTTTTAGAGTTTTTTGAAGATGTATCTACAACAACAACAAGATTTCATTTATAGAGCGTCTTTCACGTCGGGACGTCCCAAGGCACTGGACAGTTGGGTCAGGACCCGAGCAGGGGGGAAATGGTCAGGGTGAGGGTTAGATAGCAGGTTAAATAGGGGGGAACCAGTAGATGTAGTATATTTAGCTTTTAAAAAGGCATTTGACAAAAGTGCCACACAAAAGGCTATTGCACAAGGTTAAGGCCCACGGGATCAATGGGAACATATTAGCATGGATTGAAGAGTGGCTAACGGGTAGAAAACAGTAGGGATAAACGGGTCATTCTCGAATTGGCAGGATGTGACTAGTGGAGTGCCACAAGGATCAGTGTTTGGGCCTCAGCTATTTACAATTTGCATCAATGATCTAGACGAGGACATTGAATGTAACGTATCTAAATTCGCGGATGACACTAAACTAGGTGGGAGAGTAAGCTCTGAGGATGCAAAAAGATTGCAACGGGATATAGATAGGCTAGGGGAGTGGGCGAGTAGGTGGCAGATGGAATTGAATGTGGGGAAGTGTGAAGTTATTCACCTAGTTAGAAAAAATGGAAAAACAGATTATTTTCTAGAGGGGGAGAGATTAGATAGTGTTAAGTGTTCAGAGGGATTTGGGTGTCTTTGTACACCAGTCTCAAAAAGTTAGTTTGCAGGTGCAGCAAGCAACTAAGAAGGCGAACAGCATGTTAGCGTTCATTGCAAAAGGTTTAGAGTACAAGAGTAGGGAAGTCTTCCTGCAATAGGGCCCTGGTGAGACCGCACCTAGAGTATTGTGTGCAGTTTTGGTCTCCTTATTTAAAAAAAGACATACTTGCCTTAGAGGGGGTGCAGCATAGATTCACCAGGTTAGTTCCTGGGATGAGGGGACTGACCTATGAGAATAGGCTGAATAAACTAGGGCTATATTCTCTAGAGTACAGAAGAATTAGGGGAGATCTTATTGAAACATAAGATTCTTAAAGGGCTGGATAAAGTAGACACTGAGGGTCTGTTTCCCCTGGTAGGAGAATCTATAACCAGGGGTCACAGTCTTAAAATTAAGGGTCAGCCTTTTAGAACAGAGTTGAGGAAACATTTCTTCACTCAGAGGGTAGTGAATTTATGGAATTCGCTACCCCAGAAGGCTGTAGATGCTCAGTCCTTGAACTGAGTCCAAGGCTGAGACTGATAGATTTTTAAAAAATAGAGGTATTAGGGGATATGGGGAGAAGGCAGGTAATTACAGTTAGGTCTGAAGATCAGCCATGATCTCATCGAATGGCGGGGCAGGCTCGAGGGGCCAAATGGTCTACTCCTGCTCCTAATTCTTATGTTCTTATGTACAAGGATTATTATTATAATTGGCCATTTAATCTATTTGTTCCATTTGCCTTGTTATCTGATTCACAAAACAACTGCATGTTTGTAAACAAAGTTGTTTCACTGTTGTCACTAGTTGTGCAGAATTCAGTCCACAGTTGCCACAGAGCAAAGTTCTTAGGACCAGCCTCACAGATATTGTAATGCAACCTCTAGTACAATATAATATATATACAATATAAGTGCATCAATTGATTAGATCCTTGAACTCAAGTAGTATCAATTAAGTTTAATAAGAGGTACTGTTATAATTTCCCATTTGGCTGTTTTATGCTGGCAGTGAACCCATTGCTGGTTAGTTTGTCAATAAATGGAAGCCTGATAAACTATATAAGCAGGCAGTACTGATAAGATACAATACAAAATTACATCTGTATAGCGCCTTTCATCTTGGGCGGACTTCTCAAGGCACTGGACAGTCAGGGACTTGTTATGCGATTCACAATTTCAAAACAACTGCATGTTTGTAAACAAAGTTCTTTCACTGTTGCCACTAGTCGTGGAGAATTCAGCCCACAGTTGACACAGCGAATTTGCAAGGAATTGGAGTTCCACTATAACAACAATAGTTAATTCAGACAAACCTTCATGCTGAACAATTTCCTAAAATATGCCTCAGGATGGCTTCATTTTTCATTACTGTCATTTGAGTCATTAAGCTGCCATTAATTCCTGTACTTTGTTCAATGGTCTGTGGGCAATTATTGTTTTGAAAATTGTCTTAAATATTGTTCAAACCTATAATTTACAAGTTAAATTATACGATGCCCTACCTGCAAAAGGATGTAGATGCATTTGAAAGAGTTCAGACAAGAACGATTCTAAGCCCTTAGGAGATGAGCTATGAAACCAATTCAACAAACTGATATTTTTGGTAGAGAAAATAAGATTAATTGTTGGTAGAGGTACAATGTTTGATCTGTGAACCTAGAACCAGAGAAAAATCAATAGTACATATTTATAAGCATCCATGAAAATTGGAGATTAGATATGCCATAGTTTTCCTGGAGATTAATGAATATGTAGTACAGAATCCTAGATAGTTTAATGCTGAATAAATTGGCACCTTTAAAAGGAACTCTGATACAGATCTGAATTGATGGTAACAATACAATACAGCCATGTCAGGACAAACGGGTTACTGGGTGCAGCAATTCTTCCCACTTAACTCCCATTACCCTACAAGCCAAAAACCCTAAAGACATTGAATGGAGTCTGAAATAATTTAATTTAACTCTACCAGCCAAAGTCAAGAGCAGGGTTCCAGACTACTGTCTCAGATTTACAGTAATGTTTTGTAGTAAGAACTTAAGGCACAGTGAGACATCATTTTGTATGGTTTACGCTTGCAATTTCCTTAGTTGTATATACCTCTAACCCTGAATCCTTCTAGTTTATAACAACAACTTGCATTTACATAGCGCCCCTAATCCCAGATCTTATAGGAACTTGTCATGTTTGCTCTTGACAATCACTCATGCATATTCACTGTTTTGTTTTAGTTATGAAAGAGATAATCGAAAATATAAGAGTTCCCAAGCACTCCAAGGGAGTGCTTATGAGACCATTGGAGTCAACAATAACTTGTACTTATAATTGCACCTCTCATAATGCAGATTGA